GGAAAAGAAACGGGCGCTGGACGAGTGCGGGAGAGAACATCGTGTCAGGCTCACGATCACCGTCCTTTCTAGTTCTCTCACTCCTCCGGGTCTGGGCTGGGGGAAACCTGGCTCCAGAAGCCAAGCGCAGGGCCTTGGGGACTGTTCTGCGCATGTGTCCTGGATTTGTAATCCTTCCCCGCCAGTTCTGCCACGCCCTAGTCTCCTGCCTCAAAAACATTAGAAAGGTGCACACAGATCAGCCAGAAGCCCTTTGCCCTGGATGGAAGACCCTGATGGAGGCACGGCGCAGGAAGAGAGGACCCAGCAGGGAGGAAGGTAACTTGTTCAGGGAAATTGGGCTTTTTTTCTTTTCTTCCTGGTGTTGGAGATTGAACCCAGGGCCTTTGCATTGAGTTATATCTGTCCTTTTTCTCAGTGTTTTGTTTTTCGTTTTTGTTTTTGAGTTAAGAGTCTCACTGTGTAGTTAAGGCTGGTCTTAAACTCACTACATAGTCCAGGCTGGCCTCCATATCTCAGCAATCCTCCTGCCTCAGCCTCCCAAATGCTGAGATTACAGGCGTGTGCCACCATACTCAGTATTTTTATTTTGGTCTCACCAAGTCACTGAGTTGCCTAGGCTGGGCTCGAACTTGCAATCCTTCTGCCTCAGCCTCCCAGGGAGAGATCACAGGCCTGCTGGTTAGGGTTAGGATTGGGACCCTATCAAGACCCTGTTTCCTAATGTCACCACGGTCTCTGGGCTCCCCTGCAATCTCCATGACCTGCCGGCCAGGCAAAGAACTCCACTGGCGTCTCAGGATGACAGGGCGGTGACACTAGAGGACCGAGCCGGTGACGGCCGGCAACGCCGACCTTCCTATCCGAGGGCCTCCTGCGGGTCTGGCTGCCCTGGGTCAGGCTGCCCTGGGTCAGGCTCCCCGGAGCTCGCCCGGTCCCGCCTCCCCGCCTGGTCCCGCCATCCTGGCCCCGCCCCTCGTCCCGGCCCCGCCGCCTACAGATCCCGCCCCTTGTCCTGGCCCCGCCCCACACCGTTCCCCGCCCCGACATTCCGGTCCCTCCTCCCCGCCCGGCCCCGCCCCCGGTGGACACCTAGCAGGAAGCGTGCCGTGCCTCCCTACGACGCCGGGTCGCGAAAGGTGTGAGGGGATAGCGGGTGCGGGTCGCGGTCGGGCGGGTCTCCCGCCGGCCTGGGTGTCCGCAACCCCGGCCTCGTCCTCACCCCCGCCCTCGAACGCACAGGCCCACCGACGCCCCCGCTCGAGCAGCAGCTCGGGGCTCGGCTGCTCTGGCCTGGAGGCGGAGCCGGCGGCGCGGCGTCATGCATATGCATGAGCAGCGCGGCGGCGGCTCCATTGTGCCCTCGGCGGGCGGCGGCGCGATGGTGCGGGCGGTGGCCCCGGGGCGGCGGGCGGCGCGGAGGGCGGGCTGAGCGCATGGAGCGGCGCGGGCCGGGGCCGCGCAAGGGGCCGGGACGGGCCGGGCGGAGGTGAGCCGGGCCCCGGGAGGCGCCTGCTGCGCGGGCTCGGGCAGGTGCGGGGCGGGGGCGGGGGTGGGGGCGGGCAGGTGCGGCCGGCAGGTGCGGGGCCCGGGCGCCCTCGCGGGGATCGCAGCCGGGCCGGGCGCCCACCTGCCGACCCACCACGCACAATCCCAGCCTGGGCGTCCTCCGCTCGGGGTCGGGCCGTCGCCCCTCCCAGGCCTTTGTCGGGGGCTGGCTAGGAGGCCGCCAGGCCCGACCTGGGGTCTCACCTTCGCGGTGGCCAATGGGAGGCTGGGGAGGGCCGGGGGCCTCTGGACGGGACGGCGCTGACTTGTTCCCCGCCCCAGTCGTGGTTCTCACAGAGACACCCTTTTACTGATCGGATCTGTTGAAGCTCAGACGCTGGGGTGCCCTGCTCTCACCACCCAGTGATCACCTTCCATCTGCCCTGGCCTTTCCCATTGTCCTGTCCCCACCACCAGGAGCGGCCGCTGGCCCCCCTTCTCCCCAGGGTGCCCTCTTTCGTGCAGTCAGGCATCCGTGGTGATGTCTTCTTTAAGGTATTTGTGTTATTGCAGAAGATTTCACAGGGACACGGACCATGTGACTGGATCTAAGACCGTGGTGCACACGGGGAGGGTGCCACAGCCTCGACACCCAGTCCTGGCTGGCGAGGGCCGAGGGCCTCCCAAGCTGTAACGGGAGAAGTGAGGGGATCCTGACTTCGCCCAGCAGTGCTGACCTCGGAGCCCTTGTCACACCCAGGGCTGCCTCCAGACTGGCAGTGGAAATGAAGAGAAGTGGGCGGAGGCTTCCGAAGGACAGGCCCAACATGCTTGGGGAGCATCCTGATTACTGGGATTGCTCTTCAAGGGCTGATGACATAAAGGTGGTCATGTGTCCTCAGTCCCAGGTTGGCCACAAGATTCTCATTTTACATGTGATCAACTAAAGACACCAGGTCTGGGTTGTCCCTTAGGCCATTCACTAGGCTGTCCCATACCAGGGCCACTGGTCAGGGGATCTTTCTGAACTGGGTGAGGTCTGCCCTCCCAACTTTTAGCCCCTCCCTTAGGTGGCTCTGCGAGGGTGTCCTACAGTTGGAGGAACAGGACTTCTGACCCCTCCCCACACACGTGATCACCCCCTTTTGAGACTGAAGACCCCATTCCTGCCACCTCCAGAGCTGTCTCTGTTGGTTTGTTTTGGACAAGGGGATCTCCCCATGTTGTCCAGGAAGGCCAGAACTTCTGGGCTCAAGAGGTCATCCTGCCCCAGCCTCCCAAGTAGCTGGGGCTATAGGAACCAGCTGTTGCACTGGGCTTAGAAATGTCATTTTTCCGAGACTTTTGGATTCCAGGGTCTCTTGGCTTAGGGTCTGACCCTGGGTCCTTGGAGGCAGTGAGTCCTCTTTGTGGCCTGCCATGGGGCTGCTGTCCTGGATTCTACCGTACTTGCTTGGTCCTGTTCTTAGCGGCCCAAACAGTCAGAGATTGATGGAGCCAGGGAAGTTGGGGTGCAGCTGCTTTGGGACATCCGAGGGGTCTGGAAAGTAAGTTTTTCGAAGCTCTCTTTCTGGAGGAAGATGAGACTTAACCCCCAGCAAGCCTGTGGCCTTCTAGAGTGATCCAGGCCAGAGCAGCTCTGCTGGGGTCCTGGCTTCTCAACCTTGCATGCACTGAATTCCCCTGTGTTATCAGGAGCAGAGGGTCACAGGGGACCAGCCTGGAGACTGGAGGTCTTCCCAGTTTCCACAGAGTGGCTGGAGGGACGCCTGGCAGGAAACCCTCCCCGCACATGCAAGAGGCTCAGGGGGAACTGGAAATGTCTGTGGTCTCTGTCCACAGCAGAGGAGCATCATGGGTGGAATTCCCCACCCCATTTGGGCTTTCCCTGCCCTGCACCTGCCCTAGGTCTCTGCATTTCCTGGCTGGGAGGCTCACATTGGTCAGCAGCACTGCAAACATGAGAATTTAAGGCTCGGACCCTGGCCCATCCTAGTGACTGGGGTGGTGCTGGGCAGCCTGAGCTGATGGGAATTTGTTGCATTCAGGGAGCTGCTGCAGTAGGTGACCCGAAATGAGGCGTGTGTGTTGGGACAGACAAGCAGGCTGGGCTGACCCGACCAGCTGGGGTGGGGAAGCTGTCCAGGCACCTCTTCAGAGAACAGAGGTAGAGCTGCTGCTGGTGGCGGCGGCTTTGTAATTAAAGTTCTTATTTTGAGATAATTGTAGTCATAGGTAGTTCCAAGAAATAGCATAGTGAGGTCGCTTGTGTCCTTTGCCCAGTTTCCCCAGTGGTAACATTCTGCAAAGCTGTTACATCCTTATCCCGGGACACTACACAGTCTGGAGGCTCCTCCTGCTGCTGGCTGGGATTCACACCCATCGCCCTCCTGGTGAAATGACAGAAATGGGCGATTAGTGCCTCCCCCACCAATCTGTTCTCATTTTCCTGATTTTGTCATGTCAAAATGCCAGATGACAGGACCATACAGTATGTCACCTTTTGGGATTGGCTTTTTCCACTTGGTGCGGTTCCCTGGAGACTGAGCCTGGCTGTGTTGTGTTTGAACTGGCTTATTCCTTTCTCTGACCTCCCCTATGGATGAACCACAGTTGGTTTAACCCTTTGTCCATTGAAAGACATCTGGGCTGTTTCGATTCTTTGGCTACTGTAAATAAAGCTGCTGGAAGCATTCACTTACAGGTTTTTATGAGAACCCAACTAACTTCTCATTTGTCTGAGATGAATGCCCAGAAGTGCAGTTGCTGGTGTGCTTAGTTGGGTGTGGAGGTGTACACCCGAAATCAGCACTGGAGGCTGAGGCAGGAGGGTCACCAGGAGGTGGAGGCCAGTCTGGGCTGCATAGTGAATTCAAGGCCAGTGTGAAGTACTAGTGAGACCTTGTTTCAAAAGAACCAAAAGAAAAATGGCCAGACTCTCAGAGAGTGGCTGTACCACACTACTGTTCCCCCATTATCCTAGGAGAGAACAGGTTTTTCCTTGCCGGCATCTAGTGAAGTAACTTTATTTTAGCCATTCTGATACAGCCATATCTCCTTGTGGTTTTAATTTGCATTTCTCTACTGACAGTGACCTGAGTCACCTCTTTTCATATGCTTATTTACTGTCTGTATTTCCTCTTTGGTGAAGTGCAGCTTCCTGGTTTCTGCCTGTTTTCTAATTGCACTTTTTTTCTAACTTTGAGAATTCCTTTGACCTTCTAGATAACCAGCCCTTTTTGTTGGATATGGAGTTTGTAAATGTTTCTCTGTCCTTAGCTTGTCTTTTTATCCTCCTGCCAAGCTTTTCACAGAAGAAAAGTTTGAAATGGTAAGCGGGGTGAGGTGGCACATGCCTGTAATCCTGGCACTTGGGAGGCTGAGGCAGGAGGATCACTGAGTTAGATGCCAGCCTGGGCTACATAGTGAGACCCTGTCTCAAAAACTAAAACAAAACAGGGCTGGGGATTTAGCTCAGTGGTCCTGGCGCCTGCCTCAGAAATCTCAAGGTCTCAAGTTCAATCCCTGGTACCAAAAAAACCAAAACAAAACAAAAACTAAAGCAAAACAAAAAGTCTGCAATGTTGACAAGTCCAGTTTATCAAAGTTGTTCTCATGGGCCGGGGATTTATCTCAGTGGTTCGGGATTTATCTCAGTGGTTCCACTGCCTGCCTCAAAAGCGCAAGGACCCAAGTTCAATCCCCGGTACCAAAAAACAAACAAAGTTGTTCTCTTATGGATCGTGCTTTTTGGTGTCAAGTCTAAGAGATCTCTGCCTGGCCTAGAGCCCCAAGACTTTTTCCAAGCGTTTTCCTAAACATTTTATAGATTGGTATTTCACATTTAAACCTAGAAAGACCAAATCATTTTGAGTTAACTTCAGCATGAATTGTAAAGTTTGGGTTGTTTTTGATTTGTTGTTTTCTTCTGCAGTCCCGGGGCCTCACACATTGAACTCCATACCCAGTGCCCCCACCCTGCATGGCTGGTTTGCTTTACTTATTCTTGCCCCCCTGCCCCTGCAGTTTGTTGGGGGGTCTTTCCTCCCTGCTCAAACTCTGCACCTTTGTGCCTGTTGTGTGGCTGTTTCCTGTCCAGAGTCTTCTGTTGATCATGGCCCTGTCCCGTGTCCTGTCTCGTGGTCCCGATGGCCAAATCTGCGTTCTGACTGTTGAAACCTGTGGGTCGCTCCAGCCCCCATCCAGCAGGTCTGGGGAGGAGCTGCTGGTTGGCAGGACCTCTGCACAAGGTCACAATCCCTGGGCCAGGCTGTGGGACAGAGGTGCCTCCCTTGATAGCCCAGCTGGGCTCTCCTGGCTCCCTGCCTTTTGTGGCTTTTGCTTCAGGGCAGCACTTGGCCTGGGCCCAGAGGGGCATCTCCAAGAGCAGGGCACCCCACTTCCTCCCCTGATGGCCTGTTCCCCACCAGGGCCTGGTGCTGGGCTGGGAAAGCCTCAGGCTGCCAAGACAGGGCCAGGCAGTCTGGGAGCTTCCACCTTGTGCCCTCCTGCCCTGCTGGTCCTACCTTGCCAGTGCTGGGCTGAGGGCAAGGCTCCTGGTCAGCACACAGGAACGGCCACTGCTCTTGGGTGAAACAGAGGCCTTGTGGGTGCTGCAGTGGCCAGTAGAGGCCACCAAGGCCAACATGCCGTGGTGGGACAGTGAGGCCCAGAATGAGTCCTGCAGGGCCACCCCCACTGGGTCCATGTGCCTTTGGGGGTCAGGCCAGGCAGAGTGGACATGGAGGTGCCCTGGCGTGTATTGGGCAGCTGGTGGCACTTGGACGCAGTCTGGAGGTGTGGTTCCCCCCAGCCCAGGAGTCCCCACAGTCTCCCAGCTCCCCATGTCAGGGGCCCTCCACGTGTCAGGCTGGCTGTCCCTGCTCTGTCAGAAACTCTCCCTGTGTGTCAACAGACAGGCGCATAGGGACCGGCACTGCTTGCCCAGCCCCTGTGCTCACCTTAGTCTGCAGTGGCCCCTCCTCAGGGGTCCTCTAGACCCTGTCACTAGGCAGAGGGTGTGCATGGGTGCCCCGTCCTTGGTGTGGGCAGAGTAGACAGCATTGGGAGCCAGCAGCTGTTCCGGGGAGACCTAGGGCTCTGGGCAGTGAGGCCAGGTCACAGGCTTCCTCCTGTCAGGACCCAGCCTTCTCTTACAGAGGAAGGGCAGGCCTGCTGGCCCTGGGGTCCCTCCACTCGGTACCTGAGCGTGTGTCCTTTCCCTCCTGCCAGCAGCCAGAGCATCAGAGTCCCAGGTACACACCGGCAGACCCGGCCTGCAGGCTGCTCTGTCGCCAATGAACTCCATGAACCCCATGAAACCTGCCCTGCCCCCCGTGCCACACAGGTGAGTGTGGTCCCCGTGGTCGCCCCACAGGCCCTGGGCCCTCTCTCCAGTACTGGGGCCTCACCAGCCACTCTCCCTGCAGTGATGGTTCATTCGCATACGAGTCTGTGCCTTGGCAACAGAGTGCCGCTCAGCCTGCTGGGTCCCTGTCTGTGGTCACTACCGTGTGGGGAGTCGGCAACGCGACACAGAGCCAGGTGAGCCCTGTGGGGCTCCGGGCCTCCAGCCCTAGGGTGCTGGGACTTCTGCCTGCTGCGGGTGTCTTGTCCCGGCCTGTGGAAAGGCACTGTCCCCTCCCTGGCCAGACCTCTTGCTTTTGCCTGCTGCAGAGCTGTGGTTGGTTCTCTCGGTGATTCCCACTTCCTTGTAGGTTCTGGGGAACCCCATGGGCCCTGCAGGAAGCCCCCCTGGCGGCTCCATGATGCCTGGCGTGGCGGGTGGCAGCTCTGCCTTGACCTCCCCACAGTGCCTGGGACAGCAGGCCTTTGCCGAAGGTGGTGCTAGCAAGGGCTACGTGCAGCAAGGCGTGTATGGGCGAGGGGGCTACCCTGGGGGCCCCAGCTTCACCACTGGGTAAGCGGGGGCCTCACCTGACAGGGGCAGAAGCAGCACCCCGGTGGGCACATTGTGGCCTCTGCTCTCCTGCTGGCTCCAGCAGCCACCCTGAGGGCCTGGAAAGTATGGGCTCCCCATGCAGAGAACATGGCTATCCTGTGTCCCCTGTAGGTATGCGGGTGGCCCAGGGGGCCTGGGACTCCCGTCACATGCCGCACGACCCTCCGCTGACTTCACACAAGCAGCAGCCGCAGCCGCCATGGCTGCCGCCGCAGCCACGGCCACGGCCACGGCCACTGCCACCGTGGCCGCCCTGCAGGAAAAGCAGAGCCAGGAGCTGAGCCAGTATGGAGCGGTGAGGTGTCCCAGCAGATGTCACGCCATGGCCAGCGCCGAGGGCCGGGGAGGCTCGGGGAGGCGTCTGAGGACTCACGGGACCAGCACAGAACTCACTGGAGGGAGTGGGGGTCGGGGGGGGGGGGGGACAGGGACTGTGAGGTTTCTGCCGCCCTGTGTGGGCATGGCCTGGACCATGCCTTTGTCTTCTCTTTCCAGATGGGGACCGGACAGTCATTTAACAGCCAGTTTCTACAGCACGGAGGGCCCCGGGGGCCCAGTGTCCCCCCTGGCATGAACCCTACCGGGATGGCAGGATTGATAGGCCCCTCTGCCCTCTCCCCCATGGCCATGAACCCCACCCGGGCAGCGGGCCTGACGCCCCTGTATGCAGGGCAACGTTTGCCCCAGCACGGCTACCCTGGGCCCGCCCAGGCCCAGCCGCTGCCCCGACAGGGGGTCAAGAGGACCTACTCTGAGGTGAGTGTCTGGCTGCCCAACCCATCCCGGCGCCTGCAGAGCTGCAGGAAGAGCGGCTTCTGCAATGAGAACTACGTGTGCCCATTCGGACCCAGGGCCTTGCCCACCAGAGCCTTGGCCCTGACACCATCTCTCTCCCGGGCATGTTTCTCTCCTGCAGGTGTATCCAGGGCAGCAGTACCTGCAAGGCGGCCAGTACATGCCCAGCACTGCCCAGTACACACCCGGGCCTGGGCAGCCCCCCACCCCCTCACCCTCCTACCCTGGGCACAGGCTGCCTCTGCAGCAGGGCATGGGCCAGTCCCTGCCTGCACCCGGCCCCACGGGACTGCACTACAAGGTAGGGCCAGGTGCCCCAGGCCTGGGCCACCACGGGGACCTTGGGTCAGTCCTGCCCTCGAGGGCTGAGGGCTGAGGGCTGGGGAAGGGTGGGTAGAGCTTCACAGGGGCACGGTGGGTGCTGAGGCCCCAGGGTGAGGGTCCCTTTCAGAAAGGAACACCTGGGGGAGGCAGGTACCAAGGCGCTCTGACATCTTCAATGGGAACATGTCCTTTAGGTGCTCCAGGTGCCACTGGGGGGCAGGTCCTCTGTGCTGCGGGTGGTGGGCACAGTGGAGGCAGCGGGGGGAGAGGAGGAAGTGTAAAGGGCCCTGTCCGTGCAGCCCCGATGTGCCCACTCCCTCCTCTTTCTGTAGTAGATTATGTGGGGTGTCCAAGAGTGTGGAAGAACACTACTCAGCACCCCTGGGGACCTGGCTGGGGCAGGCCAGACCAGGAGCACTAACTTTTCTCTCCCACAGCCCACGGAGCAGTTCAATGGGCAGGGCACCAGCTTCAACGGGGGCAGCATGAGCTACAGCCAGCCGGGCCTAAGCGGGGTACAGGGCATGGCCGGGTGGGCGGCCGGGAGGCTCCCAGGGCAGGCACCGCACTGGCCACCCTGCCATCCTACTAACTGTGCTCAACCCCCACAGCCTGCCCGGACCATCCCTGGCTACCCCAGCTCCCCGCTGCCAGGGAATCCCACGCCACCCATGACACCAAGCAGCAGCGTTCCCTACATGTCCCCAAGCCAGGAGGTCAAGTCTCCCTTCCTGCCTGACCTCAAGCCGGGCCTCAGCACCTTGCACCCCTCGCCCTCAGGTGAGTGTTCCTTCTCCAGCAACAGCACGACAGGCTTGGAGGTGCTCCCGGCTCCCAAGAAAAGCCAGGGTTCCTTCAGGACACCCTCCCCTGCCAGGCCTTCCCTGGTTTTCTGTTTGTGGCCCTGTGGACGTCTAGAATAATACCCACCACACACAGGATGTTGTGTACAGTTTCAGGGGCTTTATGACTCCCTAAAGCCTCTCCCTGCTTCCAGGGTAACCATAGCAGGAGTGGGGCCCTGAGACCTGAGAGGCGCCTGAGGCCAGGCCCCAGTTCACACCTGTCCCCCTTACCCGCCTGTCTGGGTTGGGAGCCTCTCCTGTCGCTCTTCAGGGGATGCTGGCGGGGGAGCTGAGGCACAGTGGGCCAGGTTTGGCGGGGCTCCTGGGCCTGTCCCCCTCACGACCCGTGCCTGTCCCCAGGAGGCGGCCCCTGCGATGAGCTGCGGCTGACCTTCCCGGTGCGGGACGGGGTAGTCCTGGAGCCCTTCCGCCTGCAGCATAACCTGGCCGTAAGCAACCACGTCTTCCAGCTGCGGGACTCGGTGTACAAGACCCTGATGCTGCGGTGAGCCTGCGGGAACCCCAGCCTCCCCTGCCCCACCCCATCCCTGCCCGCCCTCAGGGTCAACCTCCGCTCTGCAGGCCTGACCTAGAGCTGCAGTTCAAGTGCTACCACCACGAGGACCGCCAGATGAACACCAACTGGCCAGCCTCGGTGCAGGTCAGCGTCAATGCCACACCGCTCTCCATCGAGCGGGGCGACAACAAGACCTCGCACAAGCCGCTCTACCTGAAGCATGTGTGCCAGCCTGGCCGGAACACCATCCAGATCACCGTCACAGCCTGCTGCTGCGTGCGTGCTGGGAGAGGGCAGGCGGGACACCCGGCTCCCCACCCGCTGTGTGCTGGGGTGGGAGGGCGCTGTCCCTGGGAGCCCTGGGCCATGCGCAGGGGCCCCCATCACCCAGCCAGAGTCTCCAGGGCTTTATCCTTAAGCCAAGACATTGCTTCTCGTTACTGCCTTTTCGGAGCCCTAGGAATATTCCATTTGGGTGAAACTTTCTAGGTTTGGGGCTCACAGTGGTTATGTAAGAGGAACCAAGTGGTGGGAAAGCTCTGGCCAGGCGACCCAGGTTGCTGCGGGCTGGGGACCTGTAGGTCGGGCAGTCAGATGCCATCTTCCTTGGGAATTCTGAGGTTTTAACTCAGACCTGGGGTCATCAGGGGAGTGCCACAAGCAGGGGGAAATACAGGCGACTTCGGGTGAGCACCCACCAGTGTTGGACATGGATGGGCTGCACAAGGTCTGTTGCAACAGGTGTGGGGTGGGCAGGAGCTGAGGCAGCCGGGCGGGGTCAGGGGAGAAAGAGAGCACATCCCAGCTGTGCATGGGGGCTGGCTGCGAGGAGTACGCTGTCGTGGCCTCTCGCCCTGGCCACTGCCTCTCTGCCACATCCCATGGACCAAACCGCATCCCTTCGCGTTGCAGTCACACCTCTTCGTGCTGCAGCTGGTGCACCGGCCGTCCGTGCGCTCTGTGCTACAGGGCCTTCTCAAAAAGCGCCTGCTGCCGGCTGAGCACTGCATCACCAAGAGTGAGTGTCCCCACCTCCAGCTCCACCTGGCCCAGTGGCTGGCTGTCCTGAGCACAGGGTGCCATCTTCTCTCCAGCCTACAGCTCTGTGCTGGGGACAGTGGCCACCTCCAGTGACTCTGGCACATTACTGATGGAGCAATGACCAGCTCCCTGGCTGCCTCCCCGGGCACAACCTCACACAGGTCCTTCTCCCTGTCCTTGATAGTAAAGCGGAACTTCAGCAGCGGTACCATCCCCGGCACCCCTGGGCCCAACGGAGAGGACGGAGTGGAGCAGACGGCTATCAAGGTGTCCCTAAAGTGCCCGATCACCTTCCGCAGGATCCAGCTCCCTGCTCGCGGCCATGACTGTCGCCACATACAGGTGAGTCCTCAAGGGCTTTGCTGGAATCCAGTGCCTTAGAATGACCTTAAAGCTGAACGTGATGGCGTGTGGCTGTCATCTCAGCACTCAAGAGGCTGAGGCAGGAGGATTTTGAACTCAAGGCCAGGGTGGACAACTTAGCAAGACTGTCTCAAAAAAAATTTGAGGGCCGGGGATTTAGCTCAGTGGTTGCGTGCCTGCCTCGCAAGCTCAAGGGCCTGAGTTTGAGCCCCGGTACCAAAAAAAAAAAAATTTGAGCTGACGCTTCAGCTACCAGGATGCTAGGGCAGGCCTGCTATGGAAGCCCTTGGACCTGGCTGCTCCCTCCCTGAGCTTGGGCTTTGGTTCTTTGTAATTATCATTTATTAACTTGTTTACTAGCTATCGTGTTCACGGGGTTCCTTTTTTTTTTTTTGGTACTGGGGATTGAACCTCAGGACCTTGTGCTTGCGCAGCAGGCGGCGAAACCACTGAGCTAAATCTCCAGCCCTAAAGAAAAGAAACTGAGCACAGAGGCACAGGCCTATAATCCCAGACTTCTTTTGTGTTTTTTGATACCAGGGATTGAACTCAGGTCCTTGTGCTTGCAAGGCAGGCGGCAAAACCGCTGAGCTAAATCCCCGGCCCTCACGGGGTTCCATTTTTAAAAGGTGTACGGTGTAGGGCAGTCTTCCTATTCCGTCGTGAGAGTCTCAGCCTTGGCAGAAACAGTGTCAGAAGAGCAACTCGCCATTGCCGCCCCTGTGGTTGCCCTGCCACTTGCTGCACGGTGGCTTTTCTTTCTTTTTTTTTTTTTGGTATCGGGGATCGAACTCGGGTCCTTGCGCTTGCACGGCAGGTGGTGAAACCACTGAGCTAAATCCCCGGCTCTACAAATTTTATTTTATTTTATTTTTTTTTCTGGTATGGGTAATTGAACTCAAGTCCTTGCGCTTGTGCAGCAGACGGCGAAACCACTGAGCTAAATCACCGACCCGGTGGCTTTTCCTTTTAGCCCCCATCCTGGTGGTTTCCTGTCAGCACAGCTGCCCAGTTCTCCCTTGGGTCATAAGGCCTTCCAGTTCTGGCGAGGGCTGCTCGGCGTGTGGCCCACCTTGTTCCACAGAGAGTACACGGCAGCTGCAGAGTCCCAAGCATACGTGTAAATTCCCCAAAACAGAGTACGGGTGGCCAGATGCCTGTCTAGGCCTGCACTGAGGACCCCGTGTCCCGATCTCTCCACAGTGCTTTGACCTGGAGTCCTACCTGCAGCTGAACTGTGAGCGGGGGACCTGGCGGTGCCCCGTGTGCAAGTGAGTCCTGCCGTGAGCATTGAAGGGGAGCTGCCTTCCTCAGAGGCTTCTGTGGGTGGAACCCAGTGTCGCTAGATACACAGGCTGGGGGAGGTGGCTCAGCTCAGCTCCGGGCAGAAACCTCATCTGGGATGGCCTTACATGAGGTCACCATTCCTGTGGTTACCTCACATGTGCACACCATGTAGTCAGTTGTGTCACACAGGGTCACCTCACTTGGGGTCACCATGCAGTCACCTCATGTAGTGGACTGGGCTGGGAATGACAGTCTCCCTTCATCTTCCACAGCAAGACAGCATTGCTGGAGGGCCTGGAGGTGGACCAGTACATGTTAGGCATCCTGATTTACATCCAGAAGTAAGTGGCTTCCTCCTGCCGCCTCAGCACCTGGGGCACCAGAGGGCAGCCTGTCTGGCCCAGGCCTGGTGTCCCCGAGGGCGGTGGGAAAGTTTCACAGACTGAGGGGGAGGAGGGCAGGGTGAGTGACCGCTGCCCTGTGCCTGCCCAGCTCTGACTACGAGGAGATCACCATTGACCCCACGTGCAGCTGGAAGCCCGTGCCCGTGAAGCCCGATGTGCACATCAAGGAGGATCCAGACGGGCCGGTGCTGAAGCGCTGCCGCACCGTGAGCCCCTCACACGTGCTCATGCCCAGCGTGATGGAGATGATCGCAGCCCTGGGCCCTGGCAGTACCCCCTTCGCCCCCCTGCAGCCCCCCTCGGGCCCTGTACCCAGCGACTATCCAGGCCAGGGTAAGTACCACACCCCAGCCTGGAACCTTGGTGACCCGGGCAAAGCACTTGTCCTCTGCAGATCAGAGGCCCCGAGCCAGCTCCCAGCCCACATGCTTAGTTCATAAATGAGTGCAGCGGCCACATCCACATCGTGGGGGTGACTGCTCAGGGCGCAGGCCTGGCTGCAGCCTAGGAAGTAGATCTACCCTCCCTCGGGTTTGGATTGGGAGGCCCTGGATGCCACCTCCATGGACTGGCCCTGGCTGGGAACCCTTTGGGGGCCCACCTGTGTGTAGCTCTGCTGTGGTCCCCCTCTTAGAGTTGTCCTGAGCCCAGGGGATGAGAATTCTGCTCTTGGCATTGTGGGGAGCATGGCCCATCCTGCCTCTGCCACACCAGCCTCTCCTCACAGGGTCCAGCTTCCTGGGGCCTGGGCCCTTCCCCGAGTCGTTCCCCCCGACCACACCCAGCACCCCGAGCCTTGTGGAGTTCACCCCAGGGCCGCCCCCCATCTCCTACCAGTCCGACATTCCCAGCAGCCTCCTGACTCCAGAGAAAGCTGCTCCCTGCCTCCCTGGCCAGGTCAGTGCCGGCTGTGGGGCTGGGAGATGGGGCTGTACCAGGGAGCCCTGGAGCTGTTTTAACAGGTCCCCTCCTTCCTCAGATGACACCAGCAGGCCACCTGGACCCAGCCCACAATCCTGGGCCACCGGGGCTGCACGCATCCAACCTTGGGGCGCCCCCAGGCCCCCAGCTGCACCACCCGAACCCTCCCCCCGCTTCCCGGCCACCCCTGGGCCAGACGAGCTCGGGGCCTGTCAGCGAGCTGGCCTTCAACCCGGCCACAGGCGTGATGGGGCCCCCCAGCATGGCCGGCCCAGGGGAGGGGCCGGAACCAGCTCTGGATGTGAGTACCTGGGCCAGGGAGCATGTGGGAGCTGGCTTGTCCACTGTGCTTTGTGAAAGGGAAGACTGGTGCCAGCGGGAGCCTGCCCAGTTAGTCGGCTGAGTGTGGCTCTCACTGCCGGGTTGGGTACCAGGAGCCGTGTATGGTGACTTTCGGCCTGGCCTGGCCTGGGGGCAGGCACCACAGTGTGTAGTGCAGAGTGGCAGACAAGACTGGGCAGAGGCTCTCGGCACAGCCTTGTATCTGGGTGCTCTTGTCCTGACACGAGCCCTTGTCCCAACCCTGGTGCTGTGAGCAGGAGCTCAGTGTGCTCAGCATGCACCCTGGGTGGATGTACCTGCTTGCTGAAGCCATGCAGGGAGGACTAGAAGGAGCAGCCTGAGAATATACCACCTGCATTTGGCCCAGGAATCACTTGGGGGTCCCCTTTGGGGCCTGTGCACCCCACCCCCAGTGCACAGCTGGGCTATCTCGGGTGCCCTGGCCCTGGTGGGGTACAGCAGCCCCACGTGGCCTCTCAGCTGCTGTCACTAGGAGAGGGGCTGCATGGCTGCCCCTGGGCCTGGGCACGGGCAGGGCCAGGGCTACCTGCCAGCTGGGGTGACATCTCAGACGAAGCTGCTGACCCGCTTGCTTTGTCCCCAGCTGCTCCCGGAGCTCACCAACCCCGATGAGCTGCTGTCCTACCTGGGCCCCCCTGACCTCCCAGCGAACAGCAACGACGACCTGCTCTCTCTCTTCGAGAACAACTGACCCCAAGTGAGCCCAGCCTGCGGGGACGAACCCAGAGCTGTCACCTCAGCTGGCCCCCAGCCCCGCAGCACACTGGCAGCCCTCTCTCCAGCTTCCCACACTCGCTGGCTGGAAGTCCACGCTGGGTCCCGGCCCAGGCCCTGGCCCGCCCCACCCCGCCCTGCCCCGCTGGCCCAGCATCCCAGCGCCCAGTCAGCCCCACCTCGGTCAGCCCCACCGGTACCGCACCATCTGCCCTGCCTGTCCCCGACCACCCAATCTCCATGCCTCCCAGAAAGAGCCGGGTGCCCACGGGCTGCCCGGGGCCAGCACCACCCTGGCCGGCGTGTGCTGTGGCTCTAAAGCACAACGATGTACATAGTGTAGAGTGCCAGCCGCCAGGGCTGTGCCAGTCGCATGTCCCCCACTGCCCAGGCCCTGTGCTCTCTGCCCCTGCCCTTGGGGACAGCTCGGGGGCGGCCATTGAGGAAGGGACCAAGCTGCAGCCTGGGGGCTCGTGGACTCGGCTCCATGTACAGATTCTCCAGTGGGCTGCTCTCCCCACCCCTTTTCTGTGACAGTGAAGAATTAGTAAGCTGTGTTTTTAAATCACCTCTGGTCCCCGCCTGTGGCCCACACCCAGGTGGCCAGGGGACAACACCCTCTGCTGGCTTGGCGCAGGGCCTGTTTTGTCTCCCGTCTGTGCGATCTCTATTAAAGGACTCCCTCCTGGCGGGCCTGGCTGTGTCCCTCCTTTGTGCTGGGGATGGGACCTCCCTGGGGGCCAGGCCCCACCCATGGGTGGCTCTGGGGCCTTTGTTGGACTGCTGTGCCCAGCCCAGCCTCAGCCCTTCCTGCCTCCTGGTAAATTTCCTTCTCCCTGGAATTTTCCAAGTTGGCTTCAGCTGGAGGGCTGTTTTGCCAAATGTCCTAGGCTTGGCTGAGACATTTGCCACCATGTCACCTTCCCGGGTGTGCCCTGGGGCGGGGTGCAGGCTGTGTGGGTGTGTGGGTCCCCACCCAGCCAGGGGCCTGCCCTCTAGCCCTTGGCCCTGTCTCCCTGCTGCCCAGAAGGGTGCACAAGTGAGACTGGGCCTCCTCTGCAGGAACCAGGGAGAGGGAGGGCTGCTGTCCTTGTGGCTGCCTGCAGGGGGCACCTGTCTGGGACCCGGCTGCTGGAGTGGAAAGGCAGGTAGCTTGCATGTCTTGTTCCCTGGGGACCATCTGTGGCCAGGTGGTATTTATTTTTTTGAGAAACAGTCTCACTATGTAGTGCAGGTTGGTCTTGATTTCACTATGTAGCCCTGGCTGGCCTGGAACCCAGAGCGATCCTCCTGCTTCAGCCTCCTGAGTGTTGAGATTACAGGTGTGTGCCACACGCCCATGTTGCCAGTTTTGGGGTCCAAGGAGTAGAAATGGTGAAAAGGGACAGGACCAGCAGCAGACTGGTGCTCAGCAGAGAGGAGGGCCCTGGTGCAGCCCCACCCTGCCTCCCTGTAGTGCATCCGGTCTCTCGGAGGCTGGGGTGAGCCAAAGGCTGTGGCCTAACCTCCGGGAGTCGTCATCAGAGCAGAGAACCAAGGGTGGATCGGTGCACTGGGACAGCAGCTCTGTGCCCACAGCCCTGAGCAAGTCACAGAAGCTGCCTGGGCGACAGGAAGTGTAGATCTTCACTCCTGAACTCAAGGCCATTTCTGTAGCGCTGGTGGCCCAGGAAGAATCAGCCTGGCTCCTGGGGTGGGACAGGGACAGGTGCAGGGCTGCGAGGCCCCAGTCTGGGAGAAGGCAGCTGTGTTCTCACACATGTGCCAAGGGTTACCTGACTACAAATGGCCGGCCCTGAGCCCACCACTGCACTGGCCGCCAGACATAGCCCTCCAGGACAGACCGCGGCTCTCACTGAACTCTGAATCCTGCCTTCTCTGATCACACAGACAAGACCAGAGGTAAGGAGAAAGCAAGGGGGAGATTCACAAATATGGAAATTAACCAGTGAGCCATTGTGGTGATACATGCCTCTAATCCCAGCACTCTGGAGGCTGAGGCAGGAGGATCACCCAGAGTTCAAGGCCAGCCTGCACTACGTAGTGAGACTCTGTGTCAGAAAAACAAAAAAGCCCAAAGAGCTAGAAATAGGACAAATTAAACCCAATGAAGAAAGAAAATATGAGAGCAGAGATAAGGGGAGAAATAAGAGAATCAGTGTAAGAAATGTTTTTTGTTTTGTTTTGTTTGAGACAGGATCTCACTATGTAGCTCAGAATTTATTTCCTCTCATCTGGAAGCTGTTCCTGTCTCATCTGTGACCAGAGGATTCATGGGCTCCTCCCAGAACTTGAATGTCCCAGCTCTTCCTGGCCTGGGCCTTCCCACTCAAAGCCTCACAGCCATGACTCCGTTACAGTAACAGCAACACTCCAACTGGCTTTTTTTTTGGTACTGGGGATCGAACTCAGCGAAACCACTGAGCTAAATTCCCTCCAACTGGTTTTTGAAGGAAGGAGCTCAAAACGGCATCTTCACAGGGGATCCCTCCTCGGATCTGCAGCCTCTGTCCACCTCCTTCCCAGTCTCCCACTTCTCCACTGGGGACGTGGGGCTTCTCAGCCTCCCTCTCTCAGAAAGTCCTGGCGTCAAAGTGGGCGTGGTAACGCATGCCTGTAATCACAGCACTGGAGGCTGAAGCAGGAGGATCTTGGAGTTTGAGTTCAGCCTGGGCAAAACAAAACAAAAAAGCCAAGAGTCTGGTGTTCAGGACAGTGCACTGTGACCCTGGCCTGGCTTGGGTCACCTGGCTTTGGTGCTGTAACAGACATACATTCCCACTTTTCCCGGGGGCGGGGGAGGTTGCCTGGTGTTTTGTGACCAAACCCAGCCTCTTCCAGGCTTCAGACTCAGGAGCAGAGGTGGGCTTTTCGGAGAGGCAGCTGGCTCTTCCTGTTTCTCTGCTCCGCCTCTCCTGGTGGGAACCTGAGGCAGGGCTGGGTATGGTGCAGGAGGCCCGGGTTCAAGCCCCAGCACTGCCAAAAAGAAACCGATTCCAGGGCCTGGGATTCAGCTCAGTGGCACCGCCCGTGCCTCAAAAGCACAAGGTCCTGAGTTTGATCCCCACTGCAAAAAAAAAAACCCCATTCCCAAGTCATGCTTGATCCCCACCCAGCACCCAGGGGTGCTCCCTTGGTAAAGTAAACGCACATTTAAGGTTTTTCCAAAAGGTAAAAACAAAAAACAGCAATAGATCCCCTCGTTCACTGCTTTCGCACTCACCCTATGGTCCAGAGAATGTGCTGCTTGGTTATTTACCTACATGAGTTGAAAACTGATGTCTAGACAAAAACCTGCACATGAGTGTTTACAGCAGTATTATTCATCGTTGTAAAAATGTCTGGAGGCTGAGGCAGGAGGATCACTTGAGCTCATAAATTCAAGACCATCCTAGGCAACATGGTGAGACCACCATCTTGAATTTTAAAAAATCAAAATTGCCAAAACATGGAGGCGACCAAAATGTCCTTCAGTAGGGAGTGGGTAAATAAGCTGTGCACATCCAGACAATGGATTATTCATCTACAAAGAAATGAGCTGTTGAGCCAGAAGGAAACTTGGAAGACATGTTGGTAATCCCAGCACTTTGGAGGCTGAGGCAGGAAGATTGCCTTGAGTTTGAGGCCAGCCTGAACTACAAAACGAGGCACTCTTAAAGACTCCACCCTCCCCAGAAAAGTTCAAGCCCAGCTTGAGGAATTTAGTGACTTAGCGAGACACTGTCTCAAAATAAAAAAAGAGGACTAGGGATGTAGCATTCAGTCTGCAGTACAAAGAGGGCAGTTAATACTCTGATGCTGAGGCCGGGGATGTAGCTCAGTGGTTCTGCTGCATGCCTCACAAGCACAAGGTCCCAAGTTTGATCCCAGTACCAAAAAAAAATACTATGATGCGAAATACCCTGGCCATTCCATGCTCCCTGTCTACTTGGGTTCATATCTAGATGGCCCCCAAGAGCCCTCATGCACTCATAGATAGCGCTCTTGCCTTTTTGTTGTTTGCGTTCAGGTTTTTGGAGACAGGGTCTTGCTACGTCGTCGAAGCTGCCCTTGAACGCACTCCATAGCAGTTACATAGTGAGATAGGCCTGCACTACATGGTGAGACCTTGTCTCAAAAACCCCAAAAAAACAAGGCAAAGCGTGCTCTGCAGAGACCGGCACTCTGGGGTGCAGCCTGCATGGTCTGCGGGAGCTGCCAGTGGGGTGCAGCTCACCAGGCTGCCTGAGGCCACCCAGGCTTCGGCTTCGGCTGTGGCTGGTGGTGCGCTCAGCCCTGCACCTGCGCCCAGCTGCCGCCTCTGGGCTCCCATTGGCAAGGAACTGGACATCTGCTGCCCAGCAATCAGGGACCCTGGCACTGTCCCTCCTAGTTCCCCAGCTCTCCGTGCCTGCGCCTGCACCTAGGGAAAGCCACAGCCCTAGGAGATGGCTGGCTGGGTTGGCCAGTTCCCAGCAGGCAGTGCGGGCCTGTACTCCTGCCCTTCCCTGGGGGATGAAACCCAGGGCATGGTGCAGGCCAGGCAAGTGCTGTACCGCTGAGCAGCAACTATGCCCAAATACATATAATATAAGCCAGATCTGATGGAGCAGGCCTGTAATCCCAGCATTCTGGTAGAGGAGGCTGAGGCAGGAGGATCTCAAGTTTGAGCTCTGCCTGGGCAATTTAGCAACTGGGAATGTAGCTGAGTATTGATGAACCCGGTGAACTGGTGGTGAAAATTTGTAATTTTTTGACACAAGGTCTCCTGTGTTCCCCAGGCTGGCCTCCAACTCATGGTGATCCTCCTGCCTCAGCCTCCAGAGTGCTGGGATTACAGGCGTGTGCCACCACTCAGGCTCACTAGTGGGAATATTAATGAAGTACCATGGAAAACAGCAGTGAGGGCTCCCAAAATATAAACTGAATGACCCTAGGGCCAGGAGTCCCCTCGAGGCCCTCCTGCCACCCCCGGACACCAGCAGACCCTGGGCACCTGTGTCTCCCAGGATTCCTGGGTCTCTGGTCCGGCTGCCACCTTTCCCATGAGCACTCGGTGGTGGCTCTTGGAGAAAGCTGGGTGGGTCACCCAACTGTCCCACAGGTGTGACAGGGCCAGTATTGAGTGGCCCCTGCTTGGGAGAGCCAACCCTTGGGCCCCTTTTCATGGGCTACTGTCTTTTAAAAAATTTTTTTATGTATTTATTTTTGGCACTGGGGGTTGAACCCAGGGCCCTCAACTGAGCTACACCCACAGCTCTTTACTATTTTTTATTTTGAGACAGTTTTGTTAAGTCACCGTGGTGCCCAGGTTGGGCTCAAACTTTCTATTCTCCTGCCTCAGCCTCCCAAAGTGCTGGAATTATAAGGTGTGCCACCACATCCAGCTATTGTCACCATCATGAAAAGGAAATTTTTGGTCCAGACCTTATATTTTGTTTTTTCTTTTTCTTTTCTTTTGGGTTGGGGGGGCTACCCGGGATCGAACTCAGGACCTTACGCTTTTTTTTTTGGTACTGGGGATTGAACTCAGGTCCTTGTGCTTGCCCAGCAGGGAGTGAAACCACTGAGCATAAATCCCTGGCCCCCTTAAGCTTTTGAGACAGGTGTGGTGCCACTGAGCTAAATCCCTGGCACTGGGGATCGAACTCAGGACCTTGCAGTTATGAGGCAGGCAGCAGAACCACTGAGCTAAATCCCCAGCCTGTTGTTCTTGTTTTGAAACAGAATCACGCTGTGTAGTTTAGGCCGGCCTTGAACTCAAGGTGACCCTCCAGCCTCAGCCTCCTGAGGGCTGGGATTACAGACTTGTGTCACCACACCAGGTTGGAAATTCCCCTTTTCCAGTTGGAATGGGAGACAAAAGGTGGAAAGAGCAGGTCCTGAGGCCTGAGGCACAGGGAGGAGGCAGGCATGCCGCTCCTACCCCCAACCTTGAGCAGAACCTAACCTAACCTAACCCTAACCCGGAGCACTGGGGCTGCCTGTCTTCTTGCCTGAGGGAATGTTACCAGTCACTCTCTCTTCAGGGCTCCAGACTCAGCCTAGGTCATGCCAGGCTCCTCCTTCCTTCTTCCTGCAGTTCCCTGGGGTGACCAAGCCAAAATTTACCCCAGGGCAGGGCTCAGGGAGCCAGTGCGTGCTCGTGTGTGTGCATGTGTGTCACACAGGTACACTCTGCCACTGAGCTACCTCCCCACCTCTTTTGATATATTTAGAGACAGGGTCCAAGTTCCCCCAGGCTGGCGCAATCCTCTTGCTTCAGCCTCCTTAAATCTTGGGACTAACAGGTGTGTACCACCCCAGAGTACAGCTTTAGAGATGGGACAGACTGGTGTGCACCCTGTCCTACCAGTGGTGCTGGAACCCAAACCCTTGCGGGCGCAGGAGCAACCCTAAGGTCCTGGGTGCCTACCACTGGGATTTATGCCCTGTGGCATTTTTATGGGAAAGACTAATTATTTTATTATATGTTAACTATTAAAGCCATAATTTAGAAGCTTTAACTTTTGAAAGCTACAGTTTAAAAGCCTTCTCCCTTCCTGAGCTTTAAGTTTGCTTTCAAATCATATTAGTCTCTTTTTTTTTCCGTACTGGGGATCGAACTCAGGACCTTGCGCTTTCGAGGCAGGCGCCGGAACCACTGAGCTAAATCCCCAGCCCTCATATTAGTCTCTTAAATATAGCAAATTTGATTTTTTTTTTTTTGGTACTGGGGATCAAACTCGGGTTCTTACACTTGCACAGCAGGCAGCAAAACCACTGAGCTAAATCCCCGGCCCCTATTTTTTTGAGACAGGGTCTCACTACGTAGCCCAGGCTGGCCTTGAACTCACAGGGATCCTTCTGCCTCAGCCTCCTGAGTAATGGGATTATAGGTGTGTGCTACCACACCTGGCTTTTGAGTTCTTTTACATATTTCCTGTGTCCACATCATTCTTATGGATAAAAATCTGATGATGTGACACTTATTTGAGTTTTGGTTATGACACATGGCTGATTATTTCTGCTCCTCCTCCCTTTCCTGTCCTTTTTGCAGGAGAGGGATGTCGGCATCGGAACTCAGGGCCAGGCAAGGCTTCTGCCACTAAGCTGTACCCCAGCCCTGTCACCCTCACTCATGGGGTCTTGCTCTGCACAGACTTATTGGACTTTCTAGTTCTGACATTGCAGCACAAGGACCAGATGCCTACGATGGCCTAGGCACTGTTAGGGACCGATGAGCCCAAGGATGCCTCCCACTTCTCAGAGGGGCCCAGGGGTGGCCATGCTGGTGACAGGAGGGACCTGGCAGGGGTTGTGGGAAGGATGAGGAATCCAGTGTGGCAGACTTGAGGTCACTGGGAGAGTGGACAGTGGAAAGGGGCAGCTCTGGGCCACACAGGACCCCTCCCGAGCTTGTCAGGGAGTCACCCGGTCACGTGAAGGCTGGGGCTGGGTGAGCTGCTGGCCGGTGCCAGGGTGCAGAGGAGCAAAGGGTTCACAAGGGACTGAACATGATCAGATGTGTCAGGCTGGGCGCTGTGATGCACACCTGTACCTCCAGCACTAGGGAGGCTGAGGCAGGAGGATCGCTTTGAGTTTCAGGCCAGGCAAACCCCACTTCCTAACCTATGCAGGCTCCTGCCCCGTGAGTGGCAGAGGCTGGACAACGGACTTCAACTGTATTTCTTCTCATTTCTGCCTCACCACACCCCTGCTCTTGTTTGGCAGATGAAGAAATGAGTTTTAGAGACATGAAGTAGCTTTCTGAATAGTGCAACGATGTGGAAGCCCCGGATGTACAAATCCCTCAGACTTTGAACAAGGGCCGCGGATTTAGCTCAGTGGTTCAGCCACTTCCCTCAAAAGCTCAAGGTCCTGAGTTCGATCCCCGGCACGAAAAAAAGGACTTTGAATAAAGATTTCTCCTAAGTGCATTTTAATACAAGCCTGAAGGGACTCACCCAGAAATCAGCACCGTCTGACCGTGGAGGGCGGTGTGCGGGGGTGGGGCAGATGCAAAAAGAAAAATCCAACAGGGCAGAAACGTGCACAGAGTCCTCGCAGGTATGGGCCTGGCCGGGCTCCGGCTTGATAGCTTCCTCCTGGAGAAAATGTGAAGTGTGCAAGATATTTTGGGAAAGTAGGGCATTTTGAGACCATTTCATAACCGCTCAGACGGGGTGGGGGGCAGGGATCCTCACTGCGGCCTCGCCCGGGCACGGCCACGCCGGCTGCGGGCCCGAATCCCGCCCGCCGATGCCCGTCCGCACTTCTGCCGCTGCGCGCGGGGTCGGGTGCTGGGCCCGCTCGACCTTGACGGGTGGCGCGACCTTGAGGCCTGCGTCCGCCTCAGTGGCCCCCTGCGTACAATGGGAAGGCTCGACCCCACACGGGGCAGGGCTCCGCACCACCGCACTCCGGCCTCGACCTGCGAACCCCAGCCCCCCTGCCCGGCTCAGCTCAGAGCCACCCCCCACCCCCAGCCCCCGCCCACGCCTTCGCCTAGCGCCCCGCTCCCCGCGCCGCAGCAACCGCAACGAGCCCGCGGGCGGGAACCTGTCTCCGCGCCCTAAGCGCCCTAAAGCGCAGGCGCGCATCCCGCCCCGCCCCCGCCGCGCCAGCCTCCGTCCATGGGCCAGCTGCACCGTCACTCTGACCGGATCACGGTTGCGATTGGCTAAAACCGAGGCGCGCGACCGGGCTGTAGGCGGAACCTGGAATTGCTATAAAAGAAGCGGTGTCCGGGCTTGTGCCGCTCTGCAGACGCCGCTGTTCTCCTTGTGGTTGTTCGCTGCCAATCATGGTCAACCCCACGGTGTTCTTCGACATCGCCGCCGACGGCGAGCCCTTGGGCCGCGTCTCCTTTGAGGTTGGTTGGGCGATAGCGCGGCAGGGTGCGGTCCGGGTTGGTCGGGGCGGGCAGAGGCGCCTCGAGGGCCTGGGCGCGGGACCCTCGGGAGGAGCGGGCCAGCGGTGGCGGCGGCGCCATTTCCTGACAAGGGGCCATTTTGGGAGGCCGCGAGGTTCGAGAGGAGGCCGGGCGCGGACAAAGGCGGGCGGGGCGGGCCTCCCCCGCGCGCCCCCGCCGTCGCCCCAGGGCCCACGTGGCCGCGCCCCGTCCGGCGGAGCACGTGCTCGGGCCACACTCCCGCACTGCGCACCGCGCCCGTCCCCAGGTCCCTCCGGCCCGCGGGAGCCGGAAGCTGGGTGGGAGGGCGTCACTCGCGGGGCGCGACCGCCTCTCCGGTTGCCCCTCCGCGCCCGCTCCCCTGCGCCGTCCCGGCAGGACTCGGGCGTGGCCCGGCCCTGCACCCGAGGCACAGCCAGAGCCCCCCGAGGAGCGGGTGGCCGCTCACAAGTCAGAAGTTACTGCGGATCTGAGCGACGCGGCGCGTTTCACTGCAGTTGCCTCTTAGATTCTGGTTCAGTTCACCCGGCACGAGCAGGCTCTAGGGTGTCGTGAAATTAGCCGTGACTTGGTGTGTTTGTCCTTTTAAACCACTTTTCAAAGCGCTGCCAGTGGTGAGATTGGTGGCACAATCTTGGTCCAGTGATGCTTCCCTTACATGCAGTCTTAGAGGGCCAGGGAATTTCCCTGTCCTGCCCTGTCTGCGGCACCGGACACCGAAGGGAGCCACCACGTGGGGAGAAACGTTAGCTCCTAATCACCCTTCACCCTGCCTTTATCGGTAGTCCGAGCTGACAGATGACAAGGCCGAGGTGGAAACTTGGCCTTGGCCTTAAGACTGGGCCTCTGGTGAGTATCCGGTTAGCCAGAGCCTGAGGCCTGGGGTGAGGATGAAGGTGGGCATTTAAAAACAAATCTCAGTGCATTCCTGTATACGGGTACCGGGGCATTAATAGTTGACGTAATCCCATCTGGAGTATTTCACGGAAAGCGCTCCTTTTAAACAAGGGATCTGAAGGATTTGTGGCTGTTACCTGTGGTGTACAGAGTTGGTCTTCAGCCCTCATGTTCTGTATGTTGAAGATGCACCAGAAAGCAGTCTATTTCTGCCCCACTAGCAGGCAAGGGGCTTGGAAACCAAAAAGTAACCGGTTGGAGGTGGCAGGGTGGCAGGCATACTGTGCCAGTGAGCGGTGAATAACTGTCCTTAGTCTCCCATGTGAGGTCGGGGGAGGTGAGGTGCATTTGAGAAGCTGTGTGTCTGTCCCAAAGTAGGTGTGATGCATTCGCAGTTCTGAGTCACTTTTTAGGAGTCTGTCACTATTTCAGTCATTGCTGCTTGTGGATTTTTGGCACAGCTTTGGGTCTCATGTTTCTCAGCCCAACTCCTCAGGCCCATAGTGCTGTCAGGAGCAATTCCTAGTTGGGATTCAGTCATTACTGAATTACTCCTGGAGTGAGAAAATGAATTTATGATTCAGAAATCTCAAAAGACATGAGCACTAAGCAATAAAACATTCATGTGGTGTTGATTAACTGTCATTTTTCTCTTACAGCTGTTTGCAGACAAAGTTCCAAAGACAGCAGGTTGGTTCCATTTTCTAAGTTTAACAAATGTATTCCAAATATAAGAATTTGAGTTTGTGGGTGTGTGTGTGTATGTGTGTATATATATTATATACTTTTTTTTTTTAACAGAAAACTTTCGTGCTCTGAGCACTGGAGAGAAAGGATTTGGTTATAAGGGTTCCTGCTTTCACAGAATTATTCCAGGATTTATGTGTCAGGTATGAAAAACTGCTTTTTACTTGGGTTGTTCCCTTAATTAGGGATTGAGCCAGAGTATTTCAGGATGCACTTCAGCTGAGCTGTTGTATCATTTCGGTTCTTTTCGGCCCTTGCACACAGTACCAAAGTGTGATCCTGGTAGACTTGGCATCTGAATGTGTGGCCAGGAGTGACAGGTTCCTGTCGTGTTTGTAGGGTGGTGACTTTACACGCCACAATGGGACTGGTGGCAAGTCTATCTACGGGGAGAAATTCGATGACGAGAACTTCATCCTGAAGCACACAGGTCCTGGCATCTTGTCCATGGCGAATGCTGGACCAAACACAAATGGCTCCCAGTTTTTCATCTGCACTGCCAAGACTGAATGGTGAGCGAGCATCGGATACAGCACATGGTGACCGACTGGCTGGGGTGAAGGGGAAATGGCTTAGTTTTTTTTTGTGTTTGCATTTGGGAGGTGTCGTGGGAGAACATGTGCACAGGGACATATATAGCCAGTGTGGTAACAGCAGGATAGTGGGAGGAACTGGCCACGTAGGCTGTGGGGGTTCCGTTGAGTGTGGCCCTGTGTAACTTGTGTGGGATTGGCCGTTCTTTATTTTTGAGATTGGCTCATAGAAAACTTCAGATGATTACTTGAGGAAGAAAGATAGGTAACAGCCAGTATTTGATAGAGAAACATGGCTTAGGCGCCTCGTGATGCAGTCTTGGTTGGCAGGGCCCCTATGTGTCGCTTGGTGCACGGTGGGGCCTGCTTCTCCATGTCAGGGGCCTGGTGCTGATGATTGTGTTTCCAGGTTGGATGGCAAGCACGTGGTGTTCGGGAAGGTGAAAGAGGGCATGAACATCGTGGAGATCATGGAGCGCTTCGGGTCCAGGAACGGCAAGACCACCAAGAAGGTCACTGTCACTGACTGTGGGCAGCTCTGATGTGTTTGACTTGGGTGTATTTCGACCACCAGACCATTCCTCTAGCTCAGGAGAGCACCCTCCGCCCCATCCACTCGCAGCGTCCCAGTATCTCTGCTCTCACTGCAGTTCTTCGGGTTCCATATTTCCCTTGCTCCCCTCCAAACGTAGCTCAATTGCAGAGTTAAGTTTATGGTTATGAATAAAAACTAACGGTTGCCTGTTCTTGCTCAGGTTAGGGTGATGATGTAGGAAACATTACTAAGACAGCATCCAGGAAGCACTTTTGTTTTTTGGCCTTTCCAGACCCAGAGAGCAAGGCAAGGTGGGTGGGGTGCTGAGAATGTGGCAGGGTTGGGGGAAGGCACGTCCCCAGCCTGGTGTCCTCCAAACTTAGCCCTATACTGGTGCCCTGCTGGGTGCTAGGGAGGATCTGGGGTGATGAGGCCACAGGCCCTAGGTAAAGGTCTGACCTCAGGAATGTCCCATGTGGCAGCCTAGGCCAGCGGGGTGTGGGAAGGAAAAGTAACCAGGTAAGGGAGGTTTTCAAGTGGGCCTATAGGAACCCCTCAAATGGAGTGTGGGGTTGCCTCACCTGCCCTTGGAGAGCTGAGTGCAGTCTGAAACCTTGCCTTGTACCATGAGAAGATGTGTGGGGTGTTGTGCTTGAGGTGGATGAGCTCCAGAGCATGGAAATGCAGGCCCTGCAGTCTTATAAATGCCTGGTCGGAAACAGAATTACTCAGTTCTGCAGCCTTAATCTAAGGGCTTCGGGCCCCATGTCTTTGGGTCAGGAATTGAGTGGCTCGTGTGACTTCCACAGTTGACCAATTTGAAATTGCTGGGAAAGGACCCACTCCCCAGCTCGGCTTTGGGGACAAAGCGGTCCTTGGGCTGCTGCTCAGGCCGCCATGGTGAGGCCCTTGGCCCAAGGCTTCAACAAGGAGGCTGCTCCTCTGCGGGGGCCAGTCAGTGCAGGAGCCTGGGAGGAGGGAGGGCAGTTGGAGCCTAAGGACCTGTCCCAAGGGCAGCAGGTACCTCGTCAGTGCACACTGCTGTGGGCCAGGTCAATGATGGGGCTGGAGGTGGGTCACAGGGGCAGGCAGCTTAAGGCCTTAGCAAGGCCCTTTCCAGAAAAATACAATTCTAGGCAGAGACGCTGGGTGCAGCCCGCACCACACAAGGATACTTCTGGGCTCCTGGGGTAGTGGCAGACACTGAGGTGCTTGATATTTTTATTTTTTGAGACAGGGTCTTCCCTATGTAGTTCAGGTTGGCCTCATGAGGATCCTCCAGCCTCAGCCTCCCAAGTGCTGGGATTATATGTGTGCACCACCACACCCAGCATAAGGTGCTTTCTCTTCAGTTTTGGGTGTTTCTGGAGATTGAACCCAGGGCTTGTGGATTGAGCTACATCCCCTGCCCTTTTGTGTACTCCCGAGTTGCCCAGGCCAAGTCTGCTGTAGTGCTGGTCACCTGTGCACCCATCTGCTCCCAGCAGCACCCTTGGGAAGCCTCCACTAACTAGGGTGACCTGCACCTGTGTTCCCCCTAAAAGATGAGTGTTGAAAAAGAAGTAAGAATGGAAGGGCACAATTGCCTGTGAGGAGGGGCCAGGGGTGGGCAGGATGGATTGTGGCAACAGGGTCTCTGAAAGTCCTGTCACTTCAAGGGAGAGGGCTGGGTGGGTCCTGGAGGGCTGGGCTCACTGCTGCCTCGAACTCAGAAAATCCATGAAAGACGTTAGGATCTACATTAATTCCCTTGCCCTTAGAATGGGCTTTTTAGAATTAGCTTCTTACATAATTTATATAAAATGGGGAGGGTTTATAATTGTCTTTCCCTGCCACCCTAGCATCCACCTTAGGTTTACACGTTACATTGGAAGAAATAATGGGGTAAAGGGCCTATTGGCTAGGGAAACATTTCATTTTCTTAGTGGAAAAAGGAGGATGGAGGTGTCAAGCAGGCTTGACTGCTCATCCCATGCATACTGCAGCTGTAAACTCCACAGGGCTCATGCTGCAGTCCAGCAGCAGCTGCATGACCTGGCCATACGGGACCTGCAGCTGGGCTGGACCTCAGGCAGGTGTGCTGCTCTTTGCCTGGGAAATGGACGCTGTGACCTGCTGTGCTGTCCTTTCCCCTCGGCTGTGTCAGCTGAGGCTATCACAAGTCTGAAGCAGAATGAGATGTCAGTTCAGACCCAAGCCCATCTAATCTAGAGCCAGGAGTGGTGGGGCACACCTGTAATCCCACCACTTGGGAGGCTGAGGCAGGAGGCTCATTTTTTGTTTAAGGCCAACCTGGGCTACATAGTGAGGTCCTGTTTCAAAAAAAAAGATCAAGCCAGGGACTTAACTCAGTGGTTCTGCCACCTGCCTCGAAAGCACAAGGACCCAAGTTTGATCCCCAGTACCAAAAAAAAAAGATCTGGCTCTGCTCTTTTCCTTTCCCAGCTTGTCCTCCACACCCCCACAACCCTCCACCTCAGGGCCACCGTGAGGACCACTGGTCACCCGTGGTGTGGACGAGGGCGCTGTGCAGCAGGCTGAGCCCTGCCCCACAAGACCTCCCCCAGGCTCCCTACCCTCTGTGCTGTCCCCACGCAGTGCAATTTTGCACCTCAGCTCCACTCTGGATGCCACATTGTCCTCTGTGTCCTCTCCCACTCCTCTCTGTCTAGCTCCCAGAGGCCCAACCTCGCAGTGCGTCTCCCTCTGAACTCACAGGTGTTAATATGCTGGTACTGACTTCCTTTTTAACACTTACAAAAAGTCTTAATAGATGCTTAATAGATCCCCTCAGTAGATGGCAGACAACACCAGATGAGAGGAAGAGATGGGGATAAGACACAGCCCCTGCTGGGGAACCAGACCTGGGGACAGGATCTAGAGGTGGCTTCACACCTGTCCCTCCTGGATGAGCCTGGTGGGGACAGGAAGCAGTAGCAGGGTTGGACGGGCCGGAAGGGATGCATTTTAGGGACAATCCAACCTCAGCATGTAGGGTGGGTTAGGACAGTGCCTAGGTAGGCCGTGACCACTGGAGCCGAGTGGACAAGAAAGGACCTGCGACGTTGGAACTCAAGCTGAAGCAGATGATCAACCGTAGGAAAGTAGGCAGAGGGAAAATGAGTGGGGCAGGGACTGAGGAGAATCTATCCTGAGACGGATTAGAAATGGCACAACTCCTCCCTCTTCCCAGGACAGCTACAGCTGGGCCATCCTGCTCTAGTTACCATCCTCAGGGTTTGAATTTGAACTAAACTGTACAATTAAAGTTGGACCAATCAGCAAGCTCAAATTCAGACCGATTGGCAGGCTCAAATTCACACCAATCAGCACTTGTGACTATGGACCAATGATGGGCCTGCAGCTGTTATGCTTGGAGGTTGAGTCTTGGGGAACCCACTGGACTGTGCTGCCCAGAGGATGCATGAAATCAGTGGAATTTTTTATTTTTTTTGAAACAAGATTGTGCTATGTGTGTAGCCCAGGCTGGCCTCAAACTCGGACAGTCCTCCTCCTCCAGCATCCCAAGAGCTAGGATTATTACATCTTGGCCTTTGATGCTTTTACAGTTGTGGCTTCAAGTCCACAGGAACAGTGCTGGGAGCACACTGCCCATCTGTGGCCAATGCAGACCCATAAGCTTGGAGTCAGACTGATCTGCATTCAGATTCCAGCCCTGCTACGGATGGGAGCCAAGAATCCAACTTCCCTCACCTGTAAGTGAGGCTGGTGTTCTCTTTCTCAGACCTACTGGGGGGGTGGGGTTAAAAGACAAATCCACACAGGCCACAGAGATGTTCGGTGGCCTCTGCTGTCTACAGTAGGAAGCCATTCCAAGTCAGAGCTCGGCTCCCTGGGCCCAGCTCCCGCTGGGCCCAGGTGCGTGGCCCTGTGTGTCAAGGCCGCTTCCTGTCTGTAGGACGCTAAGGATCCCGGCCTGGGGCTGCGTGGGCCCCAGTGAGGCCAGGGCCCCCTCAGGTAGCTTCAGGAGGAAAGTGATTCTCCGGAGATTGCTTAGCTTAGCTCCGCTCTTTTCCTGTGGAATATTCTTCATTCTGTCCTATAAACTAGGAGTGAGTTCACCAGCAGAGAACCTGACCATTCTCTACAGTGAGACGCATCAGGGCACGTGGCTGCCTGAGCAAATGCCCAGAGTGGAGCCCTTGGTGACACAACGGTGCTGCTCACTCGGTTTTTGCTGAAAAGCAGTACAGGAAAAGTGACAAGATAATCGACTAGCTTGTTCTTCCTGTCATTTGGAAAAGCAACTAACATTTAACATTGTTTCATTATTATTTAATATATTTGTCCAGGTAATGAAATATCAGTGGAAAAAGTGTGGGAACCCCGTTAGTGAGCCACCCCATCTCATTTGTCCATAAAATGAGCTGTTATTCATTGTTTTTGAGACAGGATCACTAGCCCAGGCTGGCCCCTGAAGTCCTGGTGGTGACCCTCCTGCCTCAGCCTCCCAGGTGGTGTGCTCACAGGCATGTGTCACCACGCTGATGAGAACCAATCCATTTGCTCTATGACCAGCTGCAGCAGGAGTGGCCACCTGCACAGCTGTGGCCGCAGAGCTCACAGGAGTTGTGTCACATCTACAGTATAGGTCTTTGGCAGAGTTCACATTCTTGGATTCGCCAATTCCCATGTGTTCCTTTCAAATATTCATGGCACACAGTAATTTTCAGTGTTCTAAGTACAGCATTTGGGTCCTGGGGACAAGATGAGCAAACACAGTTGCCAGGCGCTCCTATTTTAACACAGCTAGTTTCCCTGCCAGCCTCTACAGCCCCCAGGGACGGGGTGCTCCTCGTGAGCACTATGATGCACTTCCTGTCCGGGGACGTGGAAGTTACCTGAGGTGACTCACTGCCACCATGCTGACAGGAGCACCGCACGGCTGGCACCACTGGGTGCTTCCAAGCAGCTGGCCTGAGCAGTTTCCCCTTCCCTTCCTTTTGGAATGGGACTGGGGACTGAACCAGGGCCTTTGACTGAGCTACATCCCCAGCCCTTTTTTTTTTTTCAGTACCGGGGATCGAACTCAGGACCTTGTGCTTGCGAGGCAGGCTCAGCGCCACTGAGCTATATCCGCGGCCCCTTTTGGCTTTTTGAGACAAGGTCTTGCTATTTAGCCCAGGCTTGCCTCAAACATGAGATCCTCCTGCCTCAGCCTCTGCAGAGTGGGGCTTACAGGTGTGTGCCACCACACTCAGCTCAGTATGAACAAAATGTAAGACAGATCTTATCTGGATCCTGACGCAAAACTGTTAAGAAGAAAAAAGAAATTACCAGGCCAGGCCAAAGCAGATCACAAATTCGAGCAGTCTGGGGAACTTAGCAACTCAGGGCAATTCTGGGGACGTAGCTCAGTGAAGGCCTGTGTCCAATCGCTACTATGAGAAAAAAAAGGAAAAACAATACTGTTGTGTTTTTTTTGTGGTACTGGGAGTTGAAGCAGAGCCTTTGCAGTGAACCACAACCTCAGCTCTTAATTTTGAAACAGGGTCACATGAAGTTATCCAGACCAGGCTAGAACTTGAGATCCCCCTGCCTCACCTCCCATGCTGGGACATATGTGCCACTTAACTACATGTGGCTACAATGCTGTAACTATGACAGTGGCCCCGTGGCTCTGTTCTCGAGGGCCCCATCTTTAAAAACATACTTGAAGATGTCCCTAAGGCACAAGGATGTGAAAATACTGTGCCTGTGACAGGACTCAGCCGTCCACCTGGAGAGGCAGGGCCAGAGGGAGACGCACACAGGCCTCACCCTGAACACTAAGCACTGTCCTCTTACTGTGGTGCACTCATGAGTTTCTGTGAAAGCACAGGCTCTGCTCTGATGGTGTTAATACCATAAAAGAGCAATGCTTTCTTTCTTGTGAATGAAGAGTTCTGGGCAGAAAAGTAGAACCCTCTGAGTTAACTAGTACATTAACTTAAATCTTATGTTACTTAGAAATTGACAAAAAAAATTTAATTGTATAGCCAAAGCCAGATGTGGTAGTCCACACCTGTAATCCCAGCACTCAGGAGGCTGAGGCAGGAGGGTTGCTGCAAGTTCAAGGCCAGCTTGGGCTACATAGCAAGACCTTGTCTCAAAAAAAATCAAAACAAAGACTGTACAAATTTCATTATATTACTGTGAACCACCAAGAAGTGGAATTTTAAGTCAGAGGAAGAGAAATACAATCAACTGAACAATTCTAGGTAAGAGTGTGGCCGGGAGTGGTCAGACCTAGGTTTGGAGCCTGGCGCAGCTGTTTCGGGTCCACCAGGCCAGCGTTTCCGGCAGCAGAGTCTCTGAGCCTCAGGCTGCACATCTGAGAAGTGGGGCAGTGCTGCTGCCTGGGTTACTCCCCAAGGATGGGTGGGCAGGGCTCAGTGCAGGGCTTTGGGGGACATCAGCTCACAGGGTTCTTCCTAGTGGCATGATAAAATCATGGTGTGTTGCCCTGTCCCCACCCCCTCCATTACCACATACTGATAGCACGCACCTCAAATTCAACACACCCTGGTATCCATCATGGAAGCCATATTTCCCAGCTCCAATTTAATATTATTAGCATTATTGTTTTAAATGAGACAAGGTCTCACTGTGTAGTTCAGGCTGGCCTTGAACCTGCGACCTTCCTGCTTCTGCCTCCTAAGTGCTGGAATTACAGGCATGGGCGACCATGCCCAGTTTAAATTACTCTGAATAACCAATTTGAGATTTTAAAAATATCAAAGTCTGAGCAAAGTATTTCCAATATATGAACAGAACAGTTTTGAGACAAATTAATTTTGTAAAAAATGGTTTATCAGTTCCATTTTTGTATAAAACACATAGGAGAAACCTAGCCAATGGACACACGACTGTAACCACACAAGAGGTACTTTATCAAACTTGGAGTCCAAGAACAGACCAATGTTTATGTCTACAGCATTGTCTATGCATTTCCATTTAACTGTTTTTAAAAATGCCACATGTCCCCACTGCTATCTTCTGTCCAGGAGACGTACAGGGACGGGAGGAGGTGGGCTGGTGGCAGCCCTAAGCGGTTTTCTGCTGTCCCTTCTTTCCAATCAGAGATTTGTGGATGTGAGGAATCACACCTAGAAAGAAATTTTTAAAAATTACTAAAATTTTTTAGCTGGGTGTATTTGAACAGTTTTGTGGCACAAGCCAAAAAGACCAATTATACAGAGAATGAAATTCTCCTGAGTGACCTTGCCCATTCTGAGCCATGGAGGGTCTGTGAGCCTAACATGGTGTGTCAAGGAAACCGATTTTATGTGCAGTTTTAGAGAATAACCACAGCTCTCAGGAGGTTCTACAAGGATTTAAGAGACAAGAACTCCTACCACTTTCACTCATGCTAAGCAATTTCTTAAGATCAGGTTTTCAAAGTTTTTTTGTTTTGTTCTTTTAGACAGCATCTTGCTTTGTAGTGCAGGCTGCCCTTGAACTCACTATGGAGCCCAGGTTGGCCTCCAGCTGACGGCAATCCTCCTGCCTCAGCCTCCCCAGGGCTAAGTACAGAAAATATGTTAAACATTAGGCCTAAAGTATTACTGTGGAATGAGTCCAGGCCCTTCACATTGAGCTACATCTCCAGTCCTTTAAAAAACATTTTTAAAAAATTGAGACAGGGTCTTGCTGTGTAGTCCAGGTGGCCTCAAACTCACGGCAATCCTCCTGCCTCAGGCTCTGGACGGTTGGGATTACAGGTGTACATCACTCTGACTGGTGTTTTTTCTTTTCAATTTTGAGACAAGGTCTCACTAAGCGGCTAAATTGCCCAGACTGGGCTCAAATTTGTGATCCTCCCGCATCAGCCTCCCAGAGTGCTGGGATGAGAGGTGTGCACCACCACGCCCGGCTCATATATGAAATTTAGACAGAACTGGCTAAAATAAAATAGCATTATATGACTACTAGAACAAATATTTATTCAGATCATTTTATGGAGTCCAAAGCTGACATGCCTCCTAAGAGTCTCAAGTGCAGTGTCACCAATCCAAACAGCACCCGTAGAAAGGCCGGGGACCGTGCAGGTAAGTGACACATACCACCCCCAGCTATAGTCGCCTTGATGAGGGAATCCAACTCTTCATCCCCGCGGATGGCGAGCTGCAAATGACGCGGGGTGATGCGCTTGACTTTGAGGTCCTTGGACGCGTTCCCTGCCAGCTCCAGCACCTGCGGGCGTCCAGAAGACAAGAGACCAATGCAGGACCTCGCTGAAGGGCTCAGGCGGGCTTCCAGTCAGGGCCAGGCAGACCATGCTACCATCTGTGCACACTGCACACAACGTACACAGAGTGCGGGGATGCTCTCTCCTGCTACAGCACTCCTGCAACGATCGCGGCAGCATCAGATTTCCTTTGCCTTCCTTCTCTGCAGCAGAGAGCAACTGAGAAAAATCCCACTTCTACTGAGCTCGGCATCAACGGTTAAGAACAGGGATGCTGTGCCTTAGCTGAGATCCCCAGTGTGAGCATTTAGAAAAGTCCTGTCTTCATACATCCCTGTGGTCTATTTGCTACCCTTGTAGTTCATTTCCTTTAATGGCTAAATTTCACTTAATACTCACTGAAAAGTTTAAAAATGCAGTAATTCAGTTTTTAATGTTTGTGAGCCTAATATAAATCTATAGGCAATAAGTTCGAAGCCTTTTATTCTGTACTGGGAATTCAACTATAGGAATTTCAAAGTCCCAGTTAACTACATGCTGCATTTTTTAACCTCCATTATTATTTTGCTTTGTTTTTTGGGTTTTTTTGGTACCGGGGATCGAACTCAGGACCTTGTGCTTTCGAGGCAGGCAGTGGATCCGCTGACCTAAATCCCCGGCCCCCATGAATGATTGTACTTTTGATGGAAATTATCAAAAATGCAAATGCAGAAGTATCTGCACAGAGCCATCTTGCCCGAAGTGGAGTGGGGCTAAGACCCAGCGTCCCACTATCCCGTCTCATCTAAGGCAGCCTGCCTGCTGTCCCCCAGACCCAGGGTGTACTGTTGTCTGCTTTTCTCCTTTCCTCTTTTGTTCAGCCCAAGTTTGTTTTGCAGAGCCAGTTTCTCCCTCACCTCCATTTTTCAAATATAAACTTCAGCACCATTAAAAAAAAAAAAAAAGGGGGCCGGGGATTTAGCTCAGTGGTTCCGGTGCCTGCCTTGCAAGCGCAAGGTCCCAAGTTCAATCCCCAGTACCAAAAAAACCACTTTTCTTCTTTTTCAGTACTGGGGATTGAACCCAGGGCCTCACATATACTAGGTACATGCTCTATCACTAAGTCACATCCCCAGCCTGTCCAATCCTAACCGTTTTTAGCCTTAAATCTTTCCCATCTCCACAATATACTCCCTGTCCTCCCCAACCCTTCCCTCCTCTTTCTTTCAAGACAGGGTCTCAATATGTAGTTCAGGAAGGCCTTGAACTCACTGTGATCCTCCTCCCTCAGCCTCCTAAATGCTGAGATTACAGGTGGGCACCACCATGCCCCGCCACTCCACGTTTATCTTTTATTTTGCTCTTTATATGTATTTTGGGTTCTTCATAGAAGAGAAACCATGTGCTACTTAACCTTCTGTGTCTACTTCACTTAGCATTATGTCTCAAGATGCATCCATTTTCTTACAAATGACCCAAATGTCCTCTTTATGGCTGGACCTCCACTGTGTACATATTACATTTTCTTTATCCATTCATCTGTTGATGGGCAGCCAGCCCACTCCTAAAATTCAGCCACTGTATTATGATTTAAGTACAGAGGTCTGGGCCAAGTTCCCGAGAGGGAGCTGAGAGCTCAGCTGGGTGCGAGGCGCACACATTACTCCTGACTGCTGGGGCGGGGCTGGGGCTGAGGATCCCAGGTTTAAGGCAGACCAGGCAACTTGGTGGGACCTTGTCTTAAAAGGAGGGGTGGGTGCTGGGGACTCAGCTCAGCTCTAGAGCTCCTGGGCTCGATCCCTGGCAGTGCAAACACTAAGATCAGCTCAGCTCTAGAGCTCCTGGGCTCGATCCCTGGCAGTGCAAACACTAAGACGAAAGGCAGTTTGGATGGCACTTGAACACAGTGAGCCAGAATACTGTGCCTCAACATTAGTAAATGACACAAACAGCTTTCCAGAGGCTGTAACTAAACAACACTAGTGTAGGACTGAAGAGGGAAGAAGAGCTTCTCCATTACTACCATGGCTCTCACAGGACACGGCAATGCCGACGCCTGCCAGTCTCTGTTGGGAGGAAGCGCCAGCAACAGTGGTGGACACAAAGGTGACACCAAGTTGCTCTGCTCAGCCCGGCCCCCTTCCATCAGTGGGGCCTCTCCACCACCTGCTCATGAGTCAAACTGCTTCCCATTCTTTTTCCTTAGGGGGACAGAGATGGGGAAAATGGAGTCCAGGACACAAGAATTAAGAGCTCTTGTCCGAATAACTTCTCCGCAAGGACTTTAACCTGTGACATCAGCCATCGTCATAGCCAGAAGTCACACGACTGTCAGTCCACACACTGACAAGAGCACTGCTTCACTCCTTTGCTGCGTCACTTGGAAACAGACTGCTTGGTCTCAGTCTTATGGAACTGTGAAAGTGAACACACCCAGCTTCTTTCTAGCACCGGCACTGGGTTACAGGCTGACAAGATGTGTGTAAAACAGCTATTAAAAATAACCAGTGTTAAGCGCAAGGATCTGAGTTTGATCCCCGGTACCAAAAAAAATTAAAAAAAAAAACACACCAGTGTTTTTTTTGAAATACATGTCGTGGATTTCAGTTAGTCAGCCTAGAGCTTTTTTGGCAGTATGGGGGACTGAACCCAGGGCCTTCCCGCTGACCCTTACCCCCTACTTTCAGACAGGGTCTCAGTAAGTCACTCAGTTGCCCAGGCTGGGCTTGAACCTGCCATCCTCCTGCCTCAGCCTCCCAGAGAGCTGAGATGACAAGTTATCTGTCCCCACACCTGATCCAGAGAGCCCTCCCTGTTCCTGTCCCCCACAAACCTCGGCAGTGAGGTACTCCAGAATCGCGGCGCTGTAGACAGCGGCAGTGGCACCCACCCGTCCATGGCTGGTGGTGCGAGTCTTCAAGTGTCTGTGGATGCGGCCCACAGGAAACTGGAAAAGAGACGTCTCATTGGGAAACACCGCAGAGCCTGAACAGCCATGCCACGGAGGGTGACCAAGGGCTAACACCACGCGTGAGCGAGCACAGTCATAAAAACCTGCTCACACATACTGGAGACCAAATCCACTTGGCAATGAACAGTCCAGCTGAGAACGTGCGGCCTGCAGGAGGCAACGCTGTGCACTGCACGCTCCCCTCCCCGCCCCGCCCCGCCCCGCCCCGCCCCATGACCGCACCCAGCACGGGGCAGCTGCGTCACACCACAGCCACTCGCACTCTAACCCCCACCTTCCTCTGACCCTCTGCTTTCCTCACTTTCAGGTTTTCTAATAGCTTTAAAAAGGGACTTTTAGGGCCAGGGATTTAGCTCAGTGGTTCCGCTGGCAAGCGTAAGGTCCCGAGTTCGATCTCCGGTACCAAAAAAAAAAAAAAAAAAAGACTTAAATTTTTTGTTGTATTGGGGTGTGGACCCAGGGCCTTGTGCTACCCCCTCAGCTCTTCCTATCGGCGGACAGGGTCTCACTACAGGGCCTAAGCTGGCCTTGAACTGTGGTCCTCCGGGCTTTCCCACTGCCGGAGAACCCTCATCCCACTCATCTCTGCCTTTCTCCCCACCAACTTTTCTTCCTCGGGTTTCAGCCAGGGTCTCTCGCGCGCCAAGTGTGCACTCTTCTCTGAGCTGCACCCCTGCCTGCCCCTCACCCTGTTGCCACCTTTCCTCTCCTTCTGAAGCCCTTCTTAGAACTTCACACGTCCTCAGAGACTGCGCGGTTTGCCTCGATACCCCCCCCCCCTTGAAAGGCAGGATCGATAAACACATCCTACATCAGTGGTGGTGTGTGCCTGTAATCCCACGTACCAGGGAGGCAGAGGCAGGACGATCACAACCCAAATCCGGGGTCTGATAAAACACCCTCCTCAGAGTCCAGCAGTGACATTTTAGTTCCCAAATCTATTTGCCACTTCTAGATCTTCTCAAGGACAAAACGCACTCCTGAGGGCGGCTCCTGCGTCCTTCGGTCTGCCGTCCGCTGCGCAGCACCCTCCGAAACGTCTCTGCAGGCCTCTCGGACACAGTTCTCACTTCTCTGAGGTGGTGGGGATGTGAGACAGGGTCTCACTCTGCAGCTCAGACAAGCCTCCAACTCACTGTGTAGCCCAGGCTGGCCTTGGACTCATGTTCCTCCTGCCTCAGCCTCCTGACTGCTGGGCTTACAGGTGTGCACCACCATGCCCAGCCTTTTTTCTTCTTTTATTTTTAAGCTGGGGCCTTGTGATATTTCCTGTGTTGCCTAGGTCGACCTGAAACTAAGGTCCTGCTGCCTCTGGCTCCTCAGCAGCAAGAACTACAGGTGTGGGGAAGCTGGCTTTCTCTAAGAGGGCTGTGTATGAGACCAAGAACTCCAGACAGCAGCGGCTAGGAAACAACTTCGGGCTGTGGGGCACAGCTCAGGGGTAGAGCACAGCCTAGCCTATCGGAGGCCCTGGGTTCAACTTCCAGTACTACTCCAAAACAAAGACAAAAACAAAAGCCAAAAACCTGTATTTTGACCAGGGGAACAACAGCACTGAACAGTTACGCCGTGGTGCGAGCCCTGGTTTACTCAGCCTTGTCATCACCTCTGAAGACTCCTCAGACTCAAGGGAACATGCACTGTGCTAGGTCAGGAAGGGGAAGCAGCGGGGTGCAGGCCCTGTCCAGCGTGGGGGGTGCTGGGCTCCACCCCAGCACTGATCGAGACAGTTTCTGAGGGGCCCAGCAGTGACTGTCCTGCTGTTTCTTCCTTATTCTCTTACCTGGAGATGAATCCAGGGCATCAACTATCCTGTGTACAGAAGTCATCTCAAATGTGTAATTCCATCACCACTCTTAGAAAGTAGGACTCAGATTTTCAACTTCTGGACATTTTCCCATGCATATTTTGGTGAACTTCAAAATGACTCCACCTACATTTCTCCATCACAAGGCCCTAATACAAACTCTCATGTCCCTTAGGCACTAAGCCTTTGAAACACTTTTGGCTTCCTTCAGCCTGTGCCTTTCTACTCACCTTCTGCATGTTTTATTCCTTGCCACTCCATTCTAATTCAAGTCCACGCTACCCTATTCCTAAATTACCACAATAACCTCTACCTGACATCCACTGCACTTCAAATTAAAGAAGCAGGGCCAGGGTTTTAGCTCAGTGGCACTGTGCCGGCCTCGCAAGCACAAGGTCCTGAGTTTGATCCCTGGTACCAAAAAACCCCCAAAACTCCATATTAAAGACACATCAGGTCAGCTCTAGGAGGATTCACATGGTCCCAATCCACAGGGTGTGCACCAACGGGCAGTTCTCATCCCCTCCCTTCAGCGCCGCCCGGCCCACGTCATCCACTTGCTGGGCCCTTACCACTGCTGCCAGCAGAAAACCCAACCCTCACAGGCGGCCTTCAAGCTCTTCAAGCTCCCTGTTTAAAAGGTTTCTGGTTTTTTTGGTACTGGGGATCAAACTCGCGTTGAGCTTGCAAGGCAGGTGCCAGAACCACTGAGCTAAATCCCCAGCCCTTAAGTGTTCATGTGCATGGAATAATTCTTACTTATCCAGAAAATACTCAGTGTGTGGGTAAAGCTGTGACAATTCCAATATGGCAAGTCTGAAAACATTCAGTGGTTTTGAGTATGTCACTCAGTCTAAAACTGAGGCCAATAGAGAAATATTCAGAGGACCTGAAATTCGACTCATCCTGATAATTATGTACCACTACAAACAACTTCCAAAGAAAACTCACAAAATACTTTAATGATTCAATTTATAAAAGAACCAGAACATAATTATAATCTTGAAAGAACGGGTTTTAATAGACCAAATTACCAATTCATTAAGATGACTTTACAACCTGTTGCCACACAGGAATTTACTTTATGGTGACACTTCCAGCCAATCACTCTCATCCGCCATTAGGGAGCCACCCCTGGGCCATGAGGGCCGCAGTAAAGGTGACTTCCTTAGTGGGCCGGCGCCAGCGAGGCTCCCTACCTGCAGCCCAGCTCTCTGTGAGCGCGACACGGCCTTGGCCTTGGCCTTCCCACTGTCCTTCCCAGCTTTGCCTCCAGCCTGGATGGAGAGAGGTGTGCAGGAAGAGGTGAAAATGGCACTTTAAAAACAGCAGAAACAAAACTTCTAGTTTTACTTTAGGCAAACATAACCACATGATCTTGCTCCTCGTCTGTAAAAATATATGTGATCATAACACCTTCTGTTAACTTATTTTTTTTTTTTGGTACTGGGGATTGAACTCAGGTCCTTGCACTTACAGAGCAGGCGGTGAAACCAAACCACTGAGCTAAAGCCCCAGCCTATGATTCTTTTTTTTTTGGTACCGGGGATCGAAGTCGGGACCTTGTGCTTTGGAGGCAGGTGCTGGAACCACTGAGCTAAATCCCCAGCCCTCATTAACTTATATAAAAGACATCAAACACGAACACCTATTGAAAATGTGAGATTTTTACAAATCTGAACATATTTCTCCATTTTCTGATGAATCTTGCAAGTTAGCAACTTTTATACATGCTGAAATATTTCATAAATAACTATAAATGTTATCTGAACAAATACTCCTTTTTTTTTTTTTTTGGTACTGGGGATTGAACTCGGGACCTTGCGCTTGCGGGGCAGGCAGTGAAACCACTGACCTAAATCCCGGCCTGAACAAATATTTCTACAGAAACATTCAGAACTTAGCTCTTTTGGAAAAAGAAATAAGAATGTTAACTTGGCATGGTGGTGGACACCTGTAATCCCAGCACTGGAAGGCTGAGGCAGGAGGATCACAGTGAGTTCAAGGCTGGCCTCAACTACATAGCAAGACCATCTTAAAAAAAAAAAAAAAGACAAGTTTTGCTTTAAGTCAGATCCTAAGTATTTCCTCCCTAGAGGAAAGTATCTTTTCTTTTCTTTTTGGTACCCGGGATCGAACTCAGGACCTTGCCCTTTCAAGGCAGGTGGCAGCAACACTGAGCTAAACCCTCGGTCCTCGGAAGTATCTTTTCTGATTTGTGTTGCCTAAAAATACATACGTACTACTTTTTTTGGTTTTGATCTGATTTTTTGCAGTTCTTGGGACTGAACCCAGGGCCTTCACACTGAGCTTCATCCCCTTTTTTATTCTGAGATAAGTTTTTGCTAGGTCACTAAGTTGCTCAGGCTGGGCTTCAATTTGCAGTCCTCCTGCCTCAGCCTCCTAGAGTGCTTGGGTTACAGGTATGAGGCACCACATCCCACTTTTACTCCATTTTTTACTTTAAAAAAACGAAGTTCATTGCATTTGCACTCATCTTTTTTTTTTTCACATAGAAATGGGATTTGTAGGTTGTTCTATACCAGCACAGGCATGTACCTCATTTGTGGAAATGACTGTTTAATACTCCACTGTATCTATAACCTTTCTTCTATTAGTGACCAGTAAGATTATTTAAGAAGTATTTATTTTATATCAGTTCAAGTAGTATTTGTGTAATTCCTTAAATTTGGAAATCCTTTTTTAAAAATTCTTTTTATTTTTGGTACTGGGGATGGAACTCGGGTCCTTTTGCTTGCGCAGCAGGCGGCAAAACCACTGAGCTAAATCCCTGGCCCATGGAAGTCCTTTTTAATGTATGGTAAACTACATAACATAGAATTTATTATTTGAATCACTTTTTTTTTTTTTTTTAAATGAGACAGGGTCTCACTGTGTAGTTCGTTTCAGGCTGGCCTTGAACTCAGCCTTCCAAGTGCTGCAATTACAGACCTGTGCCATCATGCCTAGTGACTGTTTTCTATCATTTGATTTTGGCACTTAAATCTATTTTTTATTTGTTTTTTGGTACCGGGGATCAAACTTGGGACCTTGTGCTTGCGAGGCAGGCGGTGGAACCACTGAGCTAAATCTCCAGCCCAACTTAAATCTATTATTTCATTGTTAAAAAAAAAAACACCTAAGTGCAGTGTGGTGATGCACACCTGTAACCCTACCATGTGGGAGGCGGAGGCAGGAGGATTGGAAGCTCAAGCCCAGCCTGGGCTACAAATGAGTTCAAAACCAACTTGAACTACCTAGCAAGACCCTGTTTCAAGAAACAAAATGAAAAGCTAAAGCTTTATAGCATCAGACCTAATGGAATATAAAATGTACAATAAATACATAACTACCTACTTTTCAAAAGCCCTTCAAACTGTACATAACCTTCTAATTTTGTATATTCATTGAAATAGTTAAATAAGCAACATAAAAAGTAAAAAAAATATATAAAAAATTTAATTCTAGAAATTGTATTGTTAACTCGATTAAGGCCCTTGGTTACACACATGTTTATATGTAAGACGGGGAGGGCACATACTGAAGTATATTTCACTCAGAAAAACTTGGAAACTGAATACTGAGACACAGAATGTAGCTCTGCGGCGCAGTGCCTGCCTGGCAAGCACAAGCCGGAGTTCGATTCTCAGTACAAAAGAAAAAAAAATACAGTACTTTTATGTTTATTAAATAGTCACATGCTTACTCGAGTTTAAAACCCAAAATGACAGCTCAATTTCCTGTACTTTACACTAATGCGTATACAGTTTTAGCTGCTGAGAAAAATCCGAGAGATTGAGAAGCACTGTAAGAAGTCGCAAGGATAGTGCACAGCATCAGCGTGACCTCGCTCATTTACAGAGCAGATGTAGCCTGTGCCCGTTTGTGAAAGTGCTGTACTACAAAGCTCGGCTTATGATAAGCTAAATTAGAGTTGGAACGCGATTACCCGACAAGCCGACCCCAGCTCCCAGGTAAGGGCGCGCAGGTCGGCGCTCTGCCTGCTACTCCCCGAAGTTCCTGACTGCGGCTCTGATCTGGGGGCTCAGGTTCAGCGCCCAAGCCCGCGGCAGGTGCGGGCGGGCGGTGACAGCCGGGTCCGCGTTGCGCCCCGCACGCGATCGCGACACAAAGCGCGGCGCAGCCCAGCACTTTCCCCGAGCCCCGCCTCGGAGTGGGGCTGAGTTTGGCGCCCTCGCGCCTCCTCCCAGCCTCACTTTCCCCGGCGATCTCCGCTTCGGAAGAAGAGCGCGGACACTGCGAGAGGAGACAAAACACCGCGGCGGGCGCGGGGCGTCGCGGGCAGGGCAAGGCAGGTCCCGCCCCGGCCGCCGGCTCCGCCGAGCCCGGGCCGTTACGTAACCGCCGCCCGCCGGCGACGCCCCGCGCCCGCTGCCCTCCGCCCTCCCCTCCAGGCCGGCGGCGGCGCCCCGCGGGTCGGGCCGAGTTCGCGTCCGCCCCGCCTGGCCCGGCCCGGCCCCCGGGAGCGCGGCCAGGTGCTCCGCAAGCCGCTCCACCGCCCGCTAACTCCGCCGCCACAGGTAGCGGCACCGCCTCCGCGCCCTTCGCGCGCCCGCCTGCCCTCACCATGGTCTCGGCCGACTCTGCCTCCGCCCGGCCGGTTGACCGCCCACTGCCACCCCGCGCTGCCGCCGCCGCCGCTCTCGCAGCACCGACAGCCGCCGCGGGAGCCGGACAATACCCCGGGCCCGCCTCGCGCTGCCGCGACCAATGGCTGCTCACCTTGCTCATTTGAACCACTTCGGGTGCCCAATCGCGCGCCTTCTTCTAGTTTGAACTCCGCCCCCCCCGGCACCGCCTCTCTAACGGCTGTTTGTTTTTGCACACGGCACGCAGAGGCGGGGTTTCCAACCCCAACACTGACGCGCTTTCGGCGGCTCTCCACACTCTGGGCCTGACGAACGGGAGAATCGACCAATGGGAGCGGACAGGAGCCAATGAAAACATCGCCCGCGAGCAAGGGGATGGGACACCGGAAAGGACAGCAGGATTAACCAATGGACTGAAGGTATTTCAGGCGCCTAGGGCTTTCCCGCCCAATCTCGGCCTTGGTGACTTGTTTGGGGTGGAAGTGGCTGTCTCGCGCGCTTCTCCGAGCCGCTGTCCGCAAAGACGGAGGGTGTCCTCGTCCCGGCCGGGTGTCGCGACCTCGGCTACTGGGCTTCAGTTACTCGGACCCCGTGCCCAGCGCTGTCCTGGCGGACAGATCTCCCTGAGGATCCCGCAGGCGGAACCCTGGCCAGACCCGCTTGGCCACCTTAGCTTTGTTTCTCTGAGCCCTTGAGGTTGAAGTTGGGGGAAACTCTTAACTACAACAGGAGAAAACCTCTGAAACCGAGCTTTCGGCCGCTTGGTGGCGCACACCCGCCACCTCTGCACTAGGGAGGCCGAGGCTGGAGGATCACGCTTTCTAGCCCAGCGGGGGCAATTTAGCGAGACTACTGGGACAGCGCCTGAACTCCTAGCGTTTGTCCTTATTCCGGTCTTCCGGGATTTCCTTCTTCCCTAGCAGCCGCCTCGGCTGTGCCTGCAGCTCTAAGGTCTCGACTTTTATGGGAATTTCCTTCTCTTTTTTTGCGGGGGGGGGGAGTGGAATTTTCCCATGACGCTTTTTCAGCAATTTTATCACCAGATAGGCATATTCAACCAAAGTTTGAATTCTCTTTGATTTTTTTTTGAGACAGAGTTTCATTATGTAATCCAGGCTGGCCTCGAACTCATGGTTAATCCTCCTGCCTCAACCTCCCTGAGTGCTGGGATTATAGATGCGCACCAGCACACCTGGCTGCCTTTATTTATTTATTTATTTAGGAGAAAGGGTCTTGTTTGTAGTCCAAGTTGGTCTCAAACAGGCTATGTAGCTCAGGCTGACCTCGTGAACCTCCTGCCTCAGCCTCCCAGAGTACAGGATAACAGGCGTGTACTACCCTGCCTAGCTCTTTGTTGCTTGTGAAACTGAAAATATCAGTACTAGTTTTCCCGGTGTTGAGTGAGCCTTCCTTCAGTAATGAAGGGGAAAGTATGTAGCACATAATATTCAAGAAATGTCAACCTCTTTTGTTAACAGGAAAGTCATTATAAGCCTTCAGCCTTTGGGTTACTGATTCAGATTTGATGAAAATGCAGTTAGGCTGAAAACGAGTTCTCCTCACAGACAATAGTAAGGGCTTTACTGCTCTCTGTGTCCTCTCAGTGATGAGAGAAATATATGGAGGCACTCAGACTGAAGAAAATGAATGGAAGTTTTCTGGTATCTGTAAACAGAAGCTCTTTCTACTAAGTTTTATACAGTAAGCATGTTAGTGAGGAAAGTCTAGTTTCTACTGAACTATTGGCTACGGTTTGGATCTGGAATGTTCTGGAAAGATCCATGTGGTAAATGAAAGCTTGGTCCCCAGCCAGGGTCTATTGGGAGGCAGGAGAACATCTTAGAAGTAAAGCCTATTTTACAGAAGTGCAGTTTAAAGAAGCACTGAGCACCAGGGGTGGTATTGCTCGCTTGTAAACCCAGCACTCTGAGGGTGAGGCAGGAGGATCACGGCAAGTTCAAGGCCAGCCTGGGCTACATAGTGAGTTCAAGGCCAGCTGCAGCTATATAGCAAGACTCTGTCTCAATAAACAAAACAAAACCAAAAACAGATTCCATTTCACTCCAGAACAGCTATCATCATGAAATCAAATAATAAATTCTGGGGAGGCTGTGGGGAAAAAGGAACCCTCCTGCATTATGGGTGGGGACGTAAACTAGTACAACTACTATGGAGATCAGTATGGAGATTCCTCAAAAGAGTAAAACTAGGGCCAGGGATTTAGCTCAGTGGTTCTGTCGCCTGCCTTGAAAGTGCAAGGTCCTGAGTTCGATCCCTGTACCAAAAAAAAAAAAAAAAAAGCAAAACTAGAAACTGCATTCCACACAGCTATTCCCCTTCTAGGTATCTTCCCGAAGGAGTTAAAGACATCATATTACAGTGTTTATAGCAGTACATTTCATAATAGCTAAGTCTTGGAATCAGCCTATATGTCCATCAGCAGATGAATGGATAAAGGAAATGTGGTATTCACTTACGAAGGAGTAGTACTCTGCCACAAAGAAGGATAAACTTGAGTCATTTGTAGGAAACTAGATGCACCCTGAGATCATAATGGTGAGATAAATCAGACACCTAAGCTTAAGTATGGCTTAATTTATCTCATATGAGAAACCCAAAATATATAAAGAGCAAAAGACAGATCATATGAAACAGGGAAATAGATGTTTTGCAAAAGTTAAAGGGACCAAGGGGCCAGGGATTTAGCTCAGTGTTTCCGCTGCCAGCTTCGCAAGTGCAAGGTCCCAAGTTCCATCCCTGGTACCAAAAAAAAAAAAGTGAAGGGGACCAAGACCTGGGGGAGGGGGATGGAGGGGAGGGGAAGGGAGGGAGATGAACAAAGAATTAAGGCGAGTAGTGCACCTGACAACCTGTCACCACGAGTGTGCTAATAAACATAAGATAGCGGTAGGGCCCTGCTGGGGGTCTTTAGGCCAGGGGGCTGTGGCCTGGAAGGGGACAGCAGCAGCCTGGCCACTGGCTCTTTCTTCCTCCCATCCTGGCCACTGGGAGAGCAGTTTACCTCTCGGGCTCCGGCCCTGTTGTTTCTTTCCCACAGGTGGAGAACCACGGAGGCCAACCCACCCTGGACTGGAAACTCACACCCTGGGAGCTGAAATAACATGCTTTTAAATAACTAACTCGTGTTAGATACAGTTAGCAGAAAGCTGGCTGACACACAGGCTTCAACAATATTCTAGTCTAACCGGAGAATTGTAGCTGTTAGCCTCCAAAACATGAGCTGCCAGACACCAACAAAGCACATTCTCAGCTCCACTGGGTGTAAATCGGGGCGCCATCCTCAAAGCGTGATCGCTGCAGCAGCCACGTGAATAGCGCTTGGAACCTGTTAGAATCACAAATTCTTGCCGGGCATGGTAGCGTTCGCCTCATCCCAGCACTGGGGAGGCTGAGGCAGGAAGCTCTCCGGGAGTTCGAGGCCAGCCTGGGCTCCCATGTGGCTTCTCCTGAGGCGGACAATTCAGAGCCTACCACAAGCCAGAGAGACGAAAAAGAGGCCCTGGCCTTTAAGAAAAAGCCAAGATTTTTGGCAGAGCCGAGGGAAGGCGCCTCTGAAAGAAGTTTGCCCGAAAGATGCTTGGAAAAGCAAGGAGGAAGGGGCGGAACCCGGGCACACCTCAGGGGTATGGACAGAACTGGGGTTCAGATGGAGGCCGGCGGGAAAGCCGGCAGCTCTGCCCTGCACCCTGGCATTCATCATCGGGGCTGGAGTGGCGACGCTGGGAGCCCAGAGGCCCGCAGATCCGGGCCGCACCGACCTCACGCCAGACCCGGCCTCACTCGAGCGGCTCCTGCGCAGGCGCGGCTGAGGAATCTGAGAAGTGAGCTCCTTGACAGGACTCTGATATCTCTGTCTCCGGGGAACGTGGCATCATCGGCTCTTGCGATCTGACTGCGGAGAGCAGTTCTGTTGACAAATGCTTCAGCTGGACTTGCTGGTGCACATCCGTAATCCCAGCACTTGGGAGGCTGAGGCAGGAGGATCGCTGAGAGATCAAGGCCAGTCTGGACTATGCAGTGAGTTCAGGACCAGCCTGAATTACATAGCAAGACCCTGTCTCAAAGATTTTTTAAAAAAACAGCAACAGGAAAATGTTTGGAATTTAGAAGTGAGGGACCTAAAAGAAAAACAGGCCTGGGGTGAAAAAGGCATTGTAACCTTGGTAACTTGACTATGTTTTAGAGCTGTAGTGTTACTTAATTGTTTATTTTTGTGGTACTGGGGATTAAACATAGGGCTGGTGCACTGAGCTACATCCCAGCCCTTTTTAAAATTTTGAGATGAGGTCTAAGTCACTAAATTGCCCAAACTGAGCTTGTACTTTTATGATCCTCCTGCCTCAGCCTCCCAGAGTGTGGAGATTACAGGGCTGTGCCACCATGCCTGGCAGTTTTCTCTTTTCTTTTCTTTTTCTTTCCTTCTTTTCTTTTTTTTCTTTTTCTTTTTCTTTTTTTTTTTTTTTTGAGACTGTCTCCGTTTGTAGTCCAGCCTGGCCTAGAACTCATGGCGATCCTCCTGTCTCAGCCTCCTGAGTGCGGAGATAACAAGTGTTTGTTGCCATGCCTTCCAAAGCTGCAGTTTTCTTAACGATATAATTTTAAAATTACAATTTCTTTGTCTCCTTTCTATCTTTATTGCTTCTATTCTTGCTCAGTTTGAGTTCCAGTTTTAAAGGACCCCAAAGATTCTTCCTTTTTGTTTTGTTATGGTACCAGGGATTGAACTGAGAACTTTGTGGTTTCGAGGCAGGCGGCAGGACCACTGAGCTAAATCCCCGGCCTGGATTCTTCCTTTTTTAAAAAGGGAGCTGCTGGTTTCTCCCTCCCTAACACCAATAGAGCTCTTTCCACTCTTTAGTGGTTAACTTTATATCCAGCCAATAATACATTATATTACTTTTCTCTGTTCACATAACTGCTGTTTTTTTGGGTTTTTTTTTACATAACTGGTATGTTTACTGCAACCTGAAAACCCTGACCCTAACCTTGACTAATATAACATACAAATTTTTAAATTTTTCTGTTATGGAAACTTTTAAAATAAACAAAAGAAAACCAAATAGTACAGTAAAACCTGGCATCCCATTATGCAGCTACTATAATCATCATCTCATGCCCACATTTGTTTTATTTTTTTGTTTGTTTGTTTTGTTTTTTGAAGCAAAGTCTCACTATGTAGTTCAGGCTGGCCTTAAACTCACTATGTAGCCCAGCTTGCCTTCCCATTTATGGCCAACCTCCCGCCTCAGCCTCCCCAGTGCTGGGATTATATATGTGGGTCACCACACTGGGTTTTCTTGTTTTATTTTATATTCAGCTTTCTATTTGTCCCACCTCAAGTGGATTATTTTGAAATTAGTCCAAACTAAATATTTTTACTTGGGCAGGGAATGTAGCTCAGTGGTGCAGCATCTGCCTGGCAAGCATGAGTCCCTGAGTTTGATTCCCAGTAACAAAACAAAACAAAAAAAAATGTTTTTTTACTTGAAATTATTTCCTTAGGGATGGGGATGTAGCACAGAGGTGGGATCTTTCCTAGCATATGAAAGGCCCTGGTTGGATTCCCAGGCTTGTTTAGAGAAAAAAAATTATTTTCTTACAGAAACCTTGGGTCATATTGGATTTGTACAATGAGCGTGTACTGCCCGCTTAAACAATAAAACAAAAAAGAGCAAACTAAACCCAAAATAGAACGAAGGAAATAATAAAGATTAGGAAAGAAGTAAAAGAAGTGTAGCATGGAAAAACAATTAAGACAATTAATGAGCCCCAAAGTTGGTTTCTTTTGGGGGGGGGGCGGGTACCGGGGATCGAACTCCGGTCCTTGTGCTTAAAGTTGGTTTCTTGTAAAGATCAACATACTGACAAATTTTTCGAAAGACTGAACAAGACAAAAAGAGATTCTGTTTACTAGAATGAGAAGTAAAGGAAGAATCACTGCTGACCTCACAGAAATAAAAGGACTCTAAGGGAATGTTTTGAACATTGTTGCTGTGTGACAACAAATTCAATAACCTGGGTGAAATTCTTAGGAAAATAGTGACTACTAAAACAGACTCAAGAAAAAAAATAGAAAATCTGGACAAATCCATGACAAGAGATTGAGTTAATGTTTAAAAATCTTCCCATAGGGCCGAGGATTTAGCTCAGTGGTTTCACTGCCTGCTGCGCAAGTGCAAGGACCTGAGTTCAATCCCCGGTACCAAAAAAAAAAATCTTCCTATAGAGATGACAGTCCTAAATATATATGCACCAAATACGAATGCCCCCAACTATACAAAACAAATATTAATAGATATGAAAAACCAAATAAACACTAACACAATTGTAGTGGGGGACCTTAATACCCAACTATCACAAATAGATCATCTAGACAAAAAGTTAACAAGGAAATTCTAGAACTGAACCAAGCTATTAAACAAATGGATTTAATAGATGTTTACAGAGTGTTCCACCCCACAAAATTGGAATACACATTCTTTTCGGCTGCACACGGGTCATTCTCCAGAATAGACCACATGCTAGCTCATAGGACATGTCTAAATAAATGTAAAAGAATTGAAGTTACCCCCTGTATA